TGCGAGGCGGGGTGTTAGGACTTCAAATCTGGAGGGAAAAATCTAGAGTAGATGTGAGGCATAAAAGGTAGGAGTAGGGATGGATTAAGTTGCGCTGAGGAAACCTGGTTTTGACTGTGGCAAAATACAAAATTAAAAAAAGCATAACACATTTAAAAAAGCATAAAATAAACAAAATGAACAAAAGCATTACATATAAAAAGAACAAAATATAGGCTAATATCTATTTCATCTTGCACTTTTAAGCATTAAAGCAGTGGGAAAAATCAAATCAAAAAGAACAAGCTGGACATATATGTCATATAAAAAAGTAAAGCATACAGTTCAAAACATAACATTAAAAGGCAAATTGGGGAAATATTTCTAACATTACGATATATTGTGATAAGACAAATGCATATTTTTAAAAAAAGATCGGACAGAGGGGCGCCTGGGTGGCTCAGTCGTTAAGCGTCTGCCTTCAGCTCAGGTCATGATCCCAGGGTCCTGGAATCGAGCCCCGCATTGGGCTCCCTGCTCAGCGGGAAGCCTGCTTCCCCTCTCACACTCCCCTGCTTGTGTTCCCTCTCTCTCGCTGTCTCTCTCTGTCAAATAAATAAATAAAATCTTAAAAAAAAAAATCTGACAGAAAATGAGCAGAGGACATAAACAATTTCCAAAAGGGACAAGAATAGTGGTGTAGGCTTCTTCATTCAAAATGTGCCATGAAGACCACCCCCCCAACTCCCACATCCCATCATCTACCTTTGGGCTGTGAGACCCCAAGTAGAACAGTTTATTGAGCCATAGAGGTGACAGCAGAGGTGAAGACCTGCCTAGCAGATGTCTGGGCATGAGATCAGCCCTTTGGAGTCCCCACATCTGGCAGCATCTTTCTCTAAAGCAAATGCCTTTTGCAAACTCAACAGCAACTCTGGTAGGACAGAGTGCAAGGGGCCTCCGCTCACACGCACCCCAGACTAAGCAGCCCTCCCCCAGCCCCGTGGCCCCAGTGGTCTGGAAGGGGCAGAAGCAGCCTTCTCCTGGACTGGATGTTGCTCCCCCTCCTCCCACACCCAGGTGCGGGGTCGGTCCAGCGTGGACACAAAGGGTCTGGGTGGCAACACAAGGAAGCTGTCACGAACCAAGGGGCCGGTGGGGTTGGGGCTGCTGCCGTAAGTCGTCAGGCTGGCAGCCTTGGACCCACAGGTCATTATCCCAGATTATGTAACTGTCCTTATGAAGCAGTGCTTGGAGGTGGAGGGCAGTGCTGCACTCATACAGGCGGGCTGGCATTCTGGCTCCGAGATGCGCTGGCCCATGCCTCACCTCTGAGCCTTGCCTTCCTCGTCCGTACCATGAGGAATAAGGCCTTCCTTGAAGAGCTGGAGCTCCGCCCGTTTAAGGTAAGGACCTGACCCAGCACCTGGCAACCAGGAGGAAGCCCCCCGCTACATGCTAGGTCCTACGAATCATCAGGAAGTCTGCGCAACTTCCATGGTGGAAGTGGGTGCAGGAATGATTCTTGACCAGGACAGATGAAGACCAGTGGGGGCTTCACATGCCCTCAGCTCTCTGTGAGCCTCAAGACCACCACGTGACAGCAAGTTACAGATCCCTGATGGGACGGGAGAGTGGGGACTTGTGTGGGGATGCGGACCCAATGAGTTGGTATTCTGCCTAGATTCTGAGCCTTCGGAGAAGTGAGGGGTTATCGGGCTAGCAGAGCCCTTGGAAGGCCTCCAGTGCACCCTTCACCTGAGTCATGAATGCAGCCCAGCATGCACACCTGATAGCACTGGGACCCGAGTCAGTGCCCTCCGTCATCTGGATTACTGCTCTAGCCTCCCTCCCCGCTTCCCTGCTTCCGCCCATCCCCCTGCAGTCTGTGTCCAACGCAGCAGCTTGTGATCTGGGTTAAAACAAAAGTCAGACCACGTCACTTTCTGCTTAAAACCCTCTAATGGATCCCCATCTCATTGAGTGAAATGCAACATTCTTACAACAGCCCCTAAGCCCTGGACAGTTTGATCCCTCGTAGCTGCCCAGATTTCCTCTCCTTTGATCACTGCACCCTCACCACATGACCTCCGGTGTTCCTAGAACACACCAGGCATGCTCCTGCCCCAGGGCCTTTGCATTCCCTGTTCCTTCTGCCTGGAACCCTCTTCCACCAGATGCCCACATGGCTCCTTGCTCACCTTCAAATCTGTGCTCAAATGTCACCCCATTTAAATCGCGACATCTCCTCTTACCCTGCCAGGACTCTCAATGTTCCTTATCCTGCTCTGGTTTTTTCCAGAGCATTTCTTATAACTAACAATCTCTGTAACCTACTTCTTATGCCTGTTGTCTGCCCCTCCCCCTCAAATGAGCGTAAGCTCACCGGGGCAGGACTCCGAAAGTACCGTTCGGATAAAGAAGGAAGAGAGCCCACCGCTGCCTCCCTGTAACTTCTCCCGTGGGTCCCAACTCCACGCTCTGAAGGGTGCAGAGAACTCCTCCTTCAAGACAGCTCTCCCAGCCTGTCTTGGGTGAGGGCCCCACATTTTTCTCCAGCTGCTTCTCATGTGACAGCTCCCTCTCCCCAAAATGTAACCCATCTGTCAGCATCCCTTTAGAAGTGTTGAGTCCAGACTTGAGCCAGGTAGCAATGTCTGGAGGTGACACAGGAAACTTGGAGAAATCTGGGGAGGGAAGGAGATAGACAAAGATCCAAGAAAGACAGACCTGTGGAGTTTCTTTCACACAGGCCATCTGACACTGGACTGAGAAGCCCCCTACTTCTCCTATCTTCCTCCCACCAGACATTTTAACCCACAGCCCCTAGGATCTCTGTTCTCCAGAGAAACCTAGTGAGTTGAGGCTGGTGAGTACCAGACTGAGGATGCAGGACAGGAGGCCTGGTAGGTTGGGGACACACCCCTACCCCCCCAGCAGGGAACAGCTGACACTATTTCTAGCTCCCACCACCACCCCCACCTCAGCAGGGAGGCCAGTCCGGGGCAGGAGCCCAGGGTCCCCACTACGTTCTGTTTGAGATCTGGCAGATGTGATGCGGCTGAGACTCAGTGACAGCTTCACCCAGGCTTTCACCCAGCATCTCCAGCCCCCGTTTCAGCAGGGGATGGCATTTTGGTCAAGCCAGAGTCTGATTAGTTGGAGAAACCAACATGTCACGGAAATAATATTTCCAAGGGATGACGTAGGAAAGTAATTATCGATGGTGAGAGGCAGTCCACGGCGGGGAACTCCTCCGCTGCTCAAGCGGTGAGAAATTAGAGGGATGGGCTCAGATCAGCGAGGGTTGTTGTGGGGACAGTGGGAGTGGCTGGAGACTTGCTACCTCTGCTGATTCTGTTAATAGGATAAAGCAGCCTTGCAAATAAGAGCCAGACCTCAGGAGGCCTGCATTAGAAGGGATTTGGAAATCAGGCCAGGTCCTGCCAATAGCTTCACTTTTAGATGTGTTAGAACTGGAAGGAGCTTTACAGATCAGCAAAGCCACCGGCTCTCTGTTTGCAAGGTTTCTGCCTTCCAGAAATAACTGCAAGTATTAAGTAATAATTAATTTGTTTTCACATTTTTTATTCATCAAAGACACATAGAGGACTGCCAGCTGGGACACGCAGAAGACGGAGTCGATGTCACTCCAGCCCCAAACAAGAGACCTACTGGTTTTTTGTCAGCCGTCACGTTATCCTGTGCAAACGTAGTTTCCCTTTTGAAAACATTTAAAATAACACAACAGTCCACTTTTAAATACGTGAGGGAGCCTGGAGAATCTACATCAGAAACCCCAAATCTGAGCAAACTCTCTTACTTTATATGTAAGTAGACCAAGGCCCGGAGAAGGGAAGGGGCTTGTCCGAAGTCGCACAGCTGGCTGGCACCAGGACCAAAGCTCCAGATGAAGCAGGGAGAGGGGAGGGCTGTCGGGGGCCCTGGACACCAAGGGGCTTGGGCTTGACTCTTGCCCTCAATCCTTCCTAGCTGTGGGGCCCCGGCAGAATGACTGAAGTTCTCTGAGCCCATTTTCTTATCCATAAAATGGGGAGAATAGTAGCACTTACCCCTACTTTTGTGAGGAGTAAGTGAAGTAACAGAACAGAGCACTTAGTTCTCTTAACCCCTGCTTGTGTGGGTGGTGGGGGTAGCAGGTCTGTGTAGACAGAAGACCAACAGCTCACAGAACAAAGTCACGTGACCCCACTTCTAGGTGCTGCCCTGACAACGTCGGTGCAAAACATCCTCTCCCAGTAGAGCTCTAGGTACTAACTTGCAATGCTGTCACTTCTAGGTAGTTATTCAGAACTGAGTGTGCCTTCGGACCCAGGCCATATCCAGATTCACTGCCTCGGAATTCCTGCGGGGTGGGGCTCGGGAATATGCACTTAAAAAAATTATTATTGAGATATAATTTACACAGCATAAAATTCCCCATGTTAAGTGCACATTTTTGGTGGTTTTTAGTATATTCAAAAGGTTGTACAATCATCACTAATTCCAGAACCTTTCCATCACCTCAGAAAGAAACCCTGTAGCCGTTAGCAGTCAACACTATTCCCCACTCTCCTAGTCCCTGGCAACCACTAACTTCCCTCCCTGTGGATCTATGCTGGACAATCCCTATGAATGCACTCATGCAACATGGGGTCTGGATCTGGCTTCGTTCACTCAGCACGTTTTCAAGGGTTCATCCATGTTGTAGCTTGGATCAGGAGTTCCTTCCTTTGGAATGTGCACTTCTAATAAGCTTCCCAAGTAGTTGTGATGAGTGGGGTTCAGGAGGAAGAGAACAACTTCTGATTATTACAAAGCTACAGGGCCTCAATCCTTCCTTCAGGTATGCCTATCTCAGAGGCCCCAGGTATCACTGGGTGCTTGCCTCCTCTAGAGACTGAAGACATCAGGCAGGGTCGCCTGGTACTCAGTAGGGAGGAGTGTGTCTGTGGACAGTGGCCTGGCAGCTGAGAAGTGGGCAAATGAACTGCAGGAGAGACTCACACAAGGGGACTTAGTCTCAACTCAAAGACTTTAATGTACATTATGCTCTGGGAAAAACATCTCCAAGGAAACAAGTGGAACCAAAAGTCTTAACTAGCATGGACTCTCATTCAGAAACCTGGTTGAGCCACACCTTGGAAAAGAATGGCACAGGGACTCCTGTCGTAGTACAGTGGTTTGCGGTCAGGGTGGCAAGGACCTGCGTGTGACAGGCACACCCTCAGGACTCCGAGGGAATGGGAGCATCACTACTCCTGTGGCTGACAGCTCCACAGCAGGACTGGGAAGATCTAGGTTGGCCAGGTCATCTCCAGAGCCCTGAATAAAGGCACAGAACTTCAACGGGGCCAAAGAAGCCTCTCCAGAGCAAGAACCTCTCTCTTTGTTGTTGAATCTCCAGGTCATTGGAGAGAGTCATGGTGGCTCTGGTGAGGAATGGGGCCATATGGAAGGGTTGCCAAGTCTCACCTCTGGGTCTGAGGCCTCAGAATGGAACAGATGGGAGAGACGTGGCATTAGGAAGTCCCTTGAGGTCAGAAGCCACAGCAGTCTCGGACAACTACCCACTGGGACCTCTGGACAGAAGGAAGGGACTTATTTGGAGAAAGCCAAAGCTGCCCACTTGTCAGACTCAACCCAATGGTCTTCTGGGTCCCCTCTCCCCAGTCTGGAGCTCCTGAGTGGTCCCATGCCCATGTCTTCTGTGATGTGTTCCCATTCAATAACAGGCAGAAATTCTAGCTCATCTCCCTAGCACCCTGTTTAACTTTTAAATCACCAACTGATAGCTCAGACACTGCGCAGTCCAGGGTTTCTTGTTTTCTAACCATCCTATGGAATAAACAATCAGTTTTCTTAGGCTACTGGCTCATATTCTTCTCCTTCAGAAGGAAGCAGGGTGCTGCTGAGGCAGGTCTCTCCCGAGAGCTTCTGAAAGAGCCCGTATGGAATCTGGTCAGGTTAGCCTTCCCATGACGGGAACCCATGAATGTGCCTTCGGGATGCATATGGCCTGTTGGGCACTGAAGAAACTTATTTATTGGTGAAAGAGGGAATTCTGGCTCCATCTTTGCAGAACCTGGTGGGGCCGCTACCCCCACAGGTCCCAGAAGGAAGGGGTGAATGGAGAGGCCAGCACAGCAGCCGTGGGGGAAGGGACCTCCCCTGGCCGACAGTATTCCCAGTTAGCCAGTCTCTACTCCCTCAGGGAGCTCCACCACCACTGGGGCGCAGTCCTCTGGCTCTGCCTCAAAGTCCCACCGAAACTTCTTCGTCAGGTGAGCTTGGAACTTTTCAGCTTTCTGCCTCAGGGTGGCATCCACGGCAACGCTGCAGGCGGAGGAAAAGAAAACCTACAGAGAACAGAGGATAAGTCACTCCTGAGAACACAGAGGGGGCCGAGAAAGCTGTGGAAATTTCCTCATGGTGTTCAGCTCTCTGGGGCGGGTGGATCAGCTGCTGCTGGCATGGGCCCAGGACACCTGCTGTGCTCCCCCCAAACCAAGAAAGAAGGTCCAAACCCAGCTGAGAAGCTGGGGCAGGACTAGAATGGAAAATTACTATCTTGGGCAGAGATGCCCCATTGAGAGTAAGGCCAGGGGGGCAGGTCACCCTGGCCCAGTCCCCTGGGGAGCTCTCCTGGGCACCTGGGCTATAACTACACCAGCTGGTACCAAGAAAAGCTTGGAGGGCTTATAAGCCCCTGCAGCCCATAAAGTCCCAGGCCCGAGGCCAACGAGGCCGAACTGCTGCTCTAATCTTCATGGGCCACAGGCTGCCAGTCAAAGGTTTCTAGTCCCCTTGAAAGTTGTCTTTGATGTTCTTCTTTTAAAATTGTGCTTACAGGGGCGCCTGGGTGGCTCAGTAGGTTAAACATCCAACTCTTGATTTTGGCTCAGGTCATGACCTCAGGGTTGTGAGACAGCCCCACGTCGGGCTTCATGCTGGACGAGGAGCCTGCTTAGGATTCTCTCTCCCTCTCCTTCTGCACCCCCCCCCCCATTCGTGCACATGTTCTCTCTCTCTTAAAAAAAAAATAAAGTTGTGGTAACATGTACATAATACAAAGCCTACCATTTTAACCAGTTTTTACATCATTTTAAAAATTAAATACACATAACATTTACCATTTTGACCATTTTTAAGTGTACAATTCAGTGGCATTAAGTACATTCACATGGCTATGCAACTGTCAACCATTATCCATCTTCAGAATTTATTCATCCTTCCCAACTGATACTCTTTACCCACACTAACTTCCCATTTCCCCCTCCCACCAACCCCTGGAAGCCACCCTTCAGCAATGAACAAGGGTTCCATTTCTCCACATCATTGGCAAGATCTGTTTTTTGTTATTTATTTATTATTATTTTTTTTTAATAATAGCCATCCTGATGGGTGTGAAGTGGTATCTCACTGTGGTTTTGATCTGCATTTCCCTGATGATTAGTGATGCTGAACACCTTTTCATGTAGATGTACTGGCCATTTCTATGTCTTCTTTGGAGAAATGTCTATTTAAGTCCTTTGCCCATTTTTAGTCAGGTTTTTTGTTGTTGTTGTTGAGTTATTGTAGTTCTCTAGATATTCTGGATATTAATCCTTTGTTTTGATGTTCTTTTTAATTCAGTTTCATCTGATATAAACATTGGGCAGGGGGCAGAGCAGTAATTTTCTCTACATCTGACACTCCATTCTGGATTTTCCTGGATCCCAATCACTTCTAAGAGTAACAGCAAACTCGTTACTCCTTCTCATACAATTTCACTGTTTTCAAATTCAGAGAAGTTTCGGAGTATCCCAACAGATCCTCACCATGCTCTGGGAAGACACACCAGAATACCTATTTTATGGAAATGGAGGCTAAGAGGAGTTAAGTGACTGGATGGAAACTAATAGGAAAGGAAGGAGTAGTTTTCCCCAGACCACCCCACAGAAGCAGGAGCGTCAGGGTGGGGGAAGCTCTTTGTTCCACATCTGTCTCCTGCTGTAGCCGGCCTGCAGATCGCCATGGAAGGAGTCTGGGCTCCGGGGGCCTTGACCTGACCAAGTTAACAGCTGTACTCCACGGCTGCTTCTCCACTGCCTGGTGGCAGGAGTGAAGCTCATTGCAGTGGTCTTTGTTTGGAGTCATTTTGTCGGAGTGGTAGCAGGGACAGAAGTGACTGGGGGCTGTGGGTGTGCAGAAGCACAAGTGGGGGGTTACAGAATTTGGTTTCATTAACTTGGGAATCGACTGAATACAGGAGCAGGCAGCACAGCCACAACAAAACAGCCTACTGATAACTAGTTAGAGGGGCTGTGTGAGCACGGTGGCAGAGGGCGGCAGGGAAGCCGGCCGCCTGTCTGCAGGCAGCTAACGGGGCTTGCCCTGGAGTGCCGACTGCGGAGCCCAGCGGAGCTCTGGGGAGGGCCCTGCACGGGAAGCAGAGAAGCCTTGTTTCAAACAGCATTAGTTCCAGAGGCCCTGCATACCCCTGGGTCTGTCCCGAGGCCCTGGGGAGCCTGCTGGCTGAAGCTGCAAAAGCCTCTTCCTGCTCCCCTCCTTCCACAGTAAACCGGACCCCTCCCTACACAGCCCCACCTCTCCAGCCACGCTGAGCAGCTGCCAAACACGCTCTACTGCTTCTCCTGTGCCCCTACCCACACGTGCTCTGTCCTCAGCATAGAACACCCTTCCATCCCTGCTTTCACCTTCGTCACCTACGGATTTCTACTAGTGACTCAGGTTCACGGATTTCTACTAGTGACTCAGGTTCAGACCTCACCTCCTCTAGGCTGTCTTCCCAGACCAAGAATGGCACAGGTGCTCCTTCATGCTCCTCCAGCGCCCAGGGTTACGGCGAACGTAGCTTCAATCTCAGTTAGGTAACAGTCCATTTACTGTGGAGCTCTCCCAAGAGACAAGGAGCAACTCCAAAGCAGTGACTCTTTCTCCTACTGCATACTCACTCCTGGCACAGGGTCTGACATAAAGGACCCATGAGGTGTTTTAATGAGCAAAAGAATGAGAAGACCATAGACTCTATGAAAATCCATTTTTGGCTCACTTTTGCACAAGTCCTTAGCACCAAATAATTGCTCAATAATTATGTGATGGTGCTGGACAAAATAAAGGACTCGTCCTGGGGAGCAGGTGGCCCCTGAATGTCACCAGCTCACAAGCCACCTCCTTGTGACAGGTCTCTTACAAAAGCCCAACCTGAAATGAACTGCTCCAGCCTCTGTTCCCCTAGCACTGGGCCTGAACCTTTCTATGGCATTTCTCACACTGTGCTCACAGTATCTGTGCTCCTTAAGAATAGAGAATGAGTCCTTTTTATCAACATGTCACACACAGCATATCGCCCAGGGCCTGTTATAGAGTTAGGGCCCAAAGGAAGCTCACTGAACAGATATGAATGAGATGCAGGGACTGCCCTGCATTTGGCAATGGCCAGCAGTGACAGGTCCAAACAGGCTGGGCTCAGACTCATCACTCATCCTTCCCACCCATCTCTCAAACGATTCCTGGGAGTAAAATCAACCAGAGGCAGGTATAATAGAAAACCTTCTGTCTGAAAAATAAGGCTTCTAATTTAAAAAGTGCTTTGTCCTTTTTAAAGAACTTGTCAATTTAATCTTTACTACAAGCCTGTGTACTATAAACCTGGGAGGTAAGAGGACAGGAAATTACTGTTCCCACTGTACAGATGAGAATGGTGATAAACGCCGAGCAAGTAATAAATGTTAAGCGAGATCCAGTCCAAGTAGGGAAATCTCAATCCTTCGTCCCTACCAAGGCCTTCTTTTTGTCTCAACACAGACTTAATACATTCATCATATTTTCAGCACTGCCCTGTGGGGAGCCAGGGGACTTGGGAGACCAGGTGCTTCTGGAACTGTCCCCTCTGCAGGCCTCCAGGACCCAGGGCACAGCCCAGGTTGACTTTTTTAAAAAAGCAACTTTATTGAGGTATAATTTACATACAACTAGATTCACCCATTTTAAGTGTTCAATTTGTTTTGACAAATGTGTACACCCATGCAACCATTATATGATATAATCAAGATATTAATTTTTTTCTTTTGGTATTTAGTTTTATGAGTCCGAAGCCCACATACCATAACAATCAGGATACTGAACAGTCTCGTCACTCCGAAAAACTCCCCTGTGCTGCCCCTTAGTGGTCAAACCCTCCCCTTACCCAAGCCCCTGGCATCCAGTGATCTATTTTTGTCCCAATCGTTTACAAACTTGATATTTTAAAAACCCGTAATTCAGAAAAGGAGATATACAGACATTACCTAGTTTTCAAGCAATAATTTACTTTGATTCTCTTGTTTTTAATTTTATGGCTTCTTCAGAAAACTTGGTAATGATCTATTTATTTTACTTGTTAAGGTGAAGTCGAGTAAACGCTTCTTAACATCACTGAGAAATGAATCATCTTAATATCGGAAGATTAATCCTGGATCTTTTAAAAATACTTTTGAAAGAGGACAACAACATTTCACAAACAACTGCATTTCTCTAAAACTAAAAGCACACCCCTTGGGTATTTTTCTTTAAATATAGAAAAAGGTATTAATATTTTTATCATTAAGTCTGTATATTCTAAAACTGTAAATTACTTTAGCCAGAAACGTAAAAGCGTTCTTTTAAACCCAAGTTAAATAAATTGAGTTCAGTCAGGTCACCTTGAGAAATTCAAAATATCAAGGTAGGTAGCTGAGTCACTACCTTATCCTATTTTTTGGACAGACAAAAAAGATGAAATTTCCTAATTTTTTCAATTCCCAAATGATTATTCAACTTAGAATGAAACTAGCCAGAGGTAGAACATTCTATTTCTACTTGCAGAAGAAGAAAACGGTGTTAAATAAAACTATCATTTCACACTGATTACCAGGAGAGTAAAAAGCAACAGGAACCATGTCTTCTGAGGTCAGTTTAAAGAATTTGGGATATTTCATCTGGGAAAAATAAATGGGAGCCCACCACAGACTTCAGAATCAAAACTCAGCCTTGCCATCCACTAGCTCCGGTGATCTTGGGCAAAATCATGTGACCTCTATGATCCTGCTTCCTCATTGTGAAGTGAGATTAAATACTTAGCTCTGAGCACTGTGGTGAGGGCTAAATGAAATAATGCACACAATAAGTGTGCAAAAGTGATAGCTGACGGCAGAAGGTGTGCAAGTAGATAGGTGAAATTGATCATGACAGGTGTTCTGGTAAAAATACTACAGACATCACTCAGAGCCAGTGCCTTCCATCAAGAGTTAAAGATGAACACTGGCATTTAGAATATTGGCAAGAAATGAAGCTGGAAAGCATAGATGGCCTATTGTGACTTAAAGTATTTAAAAAAACAGGTTATGTGACTATATGCCTAAATGCTATGCAATCAGCAGTGAGAATCCTTATTTTGTACATAACTCATTTTCTAACATACTATTAAATTCAGATTATCCTTTCATTGGTTTTAAACAAATTATGGTGACTCAAGTTGCTTTTAATAAAAGAAAAAACTATCTATTTTTGTAAAACAAATAATTTTTATTCAAGCTAAATCCATGGGATTTATAAAAACCAGTGGCATCTATTCAAAAGGGCCTCTAATGGCAGAGACCATTATGTGGCTAATTTTATACCAGCTAATGTGGCAGCCTTTAAGTGCTTACACATACAAACACCAGTCCCTCTCCATGGGTAGTAGCCATTTAAGCTCCTAAGTAAGAAAGCCAGTTCCACTTACTTGACTACCTGGGGGCAGAGCAGGCGGCTGGCTGAAGAAAGCTTTTATGGGCTGATTCATTCACTCACACACATCCTGAGTGAGTGCCTCCGTGTGGGGGGCTAGATTCTCACTGCCAAGATGGTACCAACGTTAACTCTCCATTTAAAAAAAAAAAAAAAAGATCTTGTAATATCCTTTCTACATTGTGCCTGTTGAAATCTGTCATCCTTCCAGCACATGGCTAAACGCCTCCCTTCACAGTCACTCCTAATCCGCTCTCTCCTCCTCAAATTGCAACCCTAGTCTGAATTAACCAATTCCTTTTTAGTGCTTATAATGCCCTTTGATCAGACTGCACCATTTACACCTGTCATATTAGGGGCATCTATTTACAGTACCACAGGAATTATGTGCTCTAGCCATCTAAAAATACCCAATAACACAATGTGAGAGAAGTGTTAGGCCTCGACTAGGTGTTAAAAACAACCAGATGAACAACAAACCAGGCTTTGGGTAAAAGTTCACAGCTTAGTGGGGAAGTCAGGCAGACAATGTACACATTTCAGCAAGCACAGCCTGTGTAATATAATAGTGACAAGTCCAAAGTAGGCTAATAGTATGGAAAGGAGAGGGATCAGGAATGGCTTCACAGAGAGGGATGCCTTGAGGGCATCTTGTAGGATGAACAAGTTCACACCAGGCAGAATGAAAATCATGTTCAGTTAAGAAGGCATGAAACGGGCATAAAGTTTCAGTTGTGCCAAATGAAAAAGTTCTAGAGATCTGCTGTGCTTATAGTTACCAATACTATACATGTTATGTGTTTTTTTACCATGATAAAAAAATGGGGGAGAGGTGCCTGGCTGGCTCAGTCAGTTAAGCATCCAACTCTTGCTTTCAGCTCAGGTCATGGTCTTGGGGTTGTGGGATCGAGCCCTGCATAGGGCTCCATGCTCAGCGTGGAGTTAGCTTGAGATTCTCTTTCTCTCTGCCCCTCCCCCTGCTTGTGCTCTCTCTCTCCCTCTCTAAAATAAATAAATAAAAATATTAAAAAAAAGAAAAAAGGCCTGAAACAGCATGGCATTTCCTTGAACTTGTAAGGAGACCACTATTGCTGAAGTTGACAGGGGAAAACAAGGAGAGGAAGGAGAAGCTGGAGAACAGATCAGGAGCCAGATCAGAATGGGCCTTGTGATCTATGTTTGGGTTTTTAACTTTCTAGGCAATTAGGAGGTGCAGAGAAATAGTATCAGATCTGCACTTCAGAGTAACTCAGGTGGCAGCATGGGAGATAGGTGCACTGACAGGGGTAGGCATGGAAGCTGACGAACTGATGCAATCTAGATGAGACCAAAAGGGTCTCAGGGCCCATGTCAGGTAAATGGTACTGGTGCAGGACCACATTCTAAACAACGCTGTCTGGAGTGACTTGATCAATTCATTTGTTTTACTTTCCTACCAAACTATAAGCTGCAAGTCAGGGACTCTGTCTTGTTCACAGCTATATTTCTAGTCCTGCAACAGGGCATTGAATATAGCAGATGCTCAGCAAATACCTGCTAAATCAATAAATAAATCTCTTGAGGGCAGGAACCCTAATATACGGATCCCTCAACACTTTCAGGAAAATATCATATATAAAGATAGGATGCTCAAAAGTATGTGTTCATATATTTTTTTAAAGGCACATGTCCTGGATTTTTCCAAATAATGACATCAAATTTTCTTGGTATAAAGTCCAGACAGAATTCTTCCAACCATCAGCTCTGCACACCCCACCTGGGCATCTAGCAATCCAGCCGGGCCCTCTCTGCTTCATAAATCATTGTTGGCAAGGTAGCGTCAGCAATCAGAGCTCAGTTGTCTGTCAGCTCTGCTGACAATGGTCAGGACAGCCAATGACACAGTGTGGCCCTCCTAGGTTTGTGTGACAGCATTAACGCACATCACAAGGGTAGCACATCATTCCCATGGGTTATTGCCAGATGCAAGTCAGCAAGCTGATGCCCCCTCTTACCCCTCATCAGTTACTAGCTCATGTAACCCAGGAACTTGTTGGGGGTAGAGTGGTATTTCCCCTTCAGAGGAGAGATAAAGGGACTTAATTTCTCTCTGTTATGTCAAGAACCAATAAAAGAGGAGTTTTATAACTCTTCTTTTGTTTAAGTGGAACACACCAGGCTCAAGCCATCAGCTTGACCAACTTTCCCCATGGTCTGCACAACGCCCCTAACTGCCAGGGTTTTAAGTCAGCTGCCCACTTACAGGGATTCTTCCAATAGTATGTTGTTTGTAGAAAAGTATCCCATGCCTCTGAGAAATAAGCCCCTCACGGTGTCTCCACTGATGTCAACCAAGAATCCTTACTGGGGGAATCTATACTATATTCAGGACATAGGAGCATAATCACAAGACTCAGGCCTGGGTTCAAATCCTGACTCTGCCACTTACCAGCTGTGTGACCTTACATAAGTGACTTAACCTTTCTGAGTCTCAATGTTCTCATTTGTAAATAGGAAATAATCCTCCCTGCCTTGAAGGGCTCCAGAGAGATTAAATGAGGAAACCCAAGTAGCATGATAAACATGATGCCTGCTACTCAACAGGCATTTACTGAATGTTTGTTCCTTTTCTCACCCTGGGTGGGAGTGGTAGATTAGTGAGTAGCCACCTTCAAAGGAGTGGGCCTCATAGTGGTCTCACACACACACAGGGAGAAAAAAGCAGCTCATGGAACAAAAAGTATGGAAACTGACAGATTGTAGCTTCTGCCTCTTCCACACTTGAGAAAGTTAAAAATGTGAGTGACAGAGGCTGTCCCAAGAACATAAAGGAAGCTAATCTATTTGCAAAGGGAGGAAATAGCACAGGATGAAGATTATAAGTTGTTTGAAGCTTCTTCCCTAATTACCACTCATAATGAAAATTTAATTGCCAAGTTAAAAGCAAATTTCACTTTTTCTGTCAGAGAATCTCTGCAGAAACTGGCACGTTTTGTTTGAACAGGAAATCAAAGTTACTTTAATGCTTAAATGAAATCTAAAGAGCTGCAGATGTTTCCCTGGAAATAACAAGCTTCAAAACTCTGTCCTACTGGGTTATACCAACTTATGGCTACAGGGAGAAAGAAAAAGTGTTTTGAGCTGAATAACTCATAGAGGTGGAGGTTATTCAAACGCCAAGTACCCCACTGCGTGGCACTCTTGGGCAAGGCAGGCGGAGGGTGGTATAGAGAGAGGGTCTCTGGCATCACGGAACTTACAACTGAGTGCAAGAGAGAACCAGGAAACAGCCCGAGGTTAGGAAACTGCAACAAAAAAGTAACCCTCCCGAAGGGGCTTTCACACATCCTCGCCTTAATTCTGACCCACATGGGTGTCAGCCAAAAGATGGCTCACCTGTAAGGTGCTGGTGAGGAAGTTGTTCTGGGAGACAATGTCCACAAAGAAGTCGGCCGGGATCTCGCCGAGCTGGTGGTAGAGGATGGAGATGAGGTTGACGTAGAGGGTGTGGTGCCTCACCATGGCTTCTTCCGAGCGGCACAGGAGATTCAGGAGCCGCTTCCAGTGCTCAAAGGCCTCGTACACATTCCCCAGGAGGAAGCATACAAAGGCAAACTGGAGTTCACCTGAGAGGCGCAGAGAGGAGAATGATCCTGAGAGACTGGAGTGCCAGCTGATGCTACGAGGCCACCAGTTCTACTGGACCTCAGCAATGGGCGGTGGCCTCCTGCAGAGCACTCCTGGGGTTTTGCACTGAGTACATGCTCAGTTCAAGTTTGCTGAACTGCTCTAAACTCAAGCTACAAAAAACCAAAGTGTGGTTTTATAAAATCAGACTGTAAGAGAAGAGATCTACCTAGTATTTGCCTGGCACTTAGAAAGTTTACAAAATGTGTCCATGGGTATTATGCCAGGTGGATCCCAAACTTGGCTGCCTATCAGAATTACTAGGAGAGCTCGTTGAAGATAAAGCTGCCCAAGCCTCCCCCATGGAGAGCCCGGTTGAGGACAGATGATGGAACCTCAGTATCTTTAGCTCTAAAAAGCTTCCCGGGTAATTCTGATGCAAATGGTCTGCTCCAGAGCCAGGGAAATGCTGCATTACACCATGTAATCCCCAGCCCAACTCCACAAGGTATTCAGGGAAGGTGGTATCTGTCTCATTTTACAGATGAGGTCAAGGGACTTACCCAAGGTCACACATCGAATGCTTGGCAATGGGAACAATGTAAAGATAAAACGAAATTCCTATTGGGTGAGAACAGTTCCAGAGCTTCCCAGAAGAGGAAAATTTGTGAGTACTTGTTCCAGGCTTAGCCTGCTAGCCCAAATCACTTGCATTTGTTTAACCACAGGGCTCTGTGATTTAACCTCTATGAACAGCTTGGTGGCTAATAGCATGAGCTCTGGGGGTGCCTGGGTGGCTCAGTTGGTTAAGCGACTGCCTTCAGCTCAGGTCATGATCCTGGAGTCCTGGGATCGAGTCCCACATCGGGCTCCCGGCTCGGCGGGGAGCCTGCTTCTCCCTCTGACCCTATCCCCTCTCATGCTGTTTCTCTCTCTCTCAAATAAATAAATAAAATCTTAAAAAAAAAAAAAAAATAGCATGAGCTCTGGAACCAAACTACCTGAATTCAAATCTCGGCTCCGCCCTTCAGAGATGTGTGACCTTGGGCAAGTTACTCAATCTGTTTATACCTCGTTTTCCTTATTTGAGGGCAGTGGGGAAGATTAAATAAATCAATGTAGTTCACATGAAGCATTTAAAATAATGCCTGACACAAAGGAGTGCTCAAGAAATATTAGCTATTATTATTCCCGCATTTCCACCAGATGCCTGTCTGAAACAAAGAGACGCCATGATCCAGAAGCCACTGTCCTTGGGCAAGCAACTGGGTCTCTGGATGCCAAGATATACTGCTATTGATCAGAGACATTCTCTCTGGCTTCAAATTTAATGAGGGCTTCTGTGGTGTCATACCTATACATGGGCCATAAAAAGAATAGATGCACTCAACACCAAGTACCTCTTTAAATGCATGGTGTTTGATCTCTGTCACCTCCAGAGATATGAAAAACTAGTTCTCTATTCCTAGGCTTGTGGAACTAAGTTTGTCTAGCTGCCTGGTCCAGATATATTGGATGTTGAACTGACATTTTCAAGATATTGTCAAATTTTCTTTCTATGATAGAGGTTAATGATTTGCTTCTACAGTTGGCTTTACCTGGTTGGTTTGTGAAAACAGGAGCTTATTCTCTGAAATTAGAGCATGTACTTAAATTCAAGCATTTCTGACCTAGTCTGAAATTAAGTTACGAGATCAGAAATAATTTCAAAGAGCTGTCAGGAAGATACAAAGTTATCCCTGCAACAGACCCTTCAGAAGATTACTTTGAAGAACTGAAACGTTTAAGAGGTAGAAAACAGGATTTCTGTTCATTTTTAAGCCAGAATTTCTTAAGTGTTACTTATTAAATGATAACACTGTGTAATGCATTAAGATGCACCCATTAAAATGTGTCCTTTTATCAGAGAGCCAATGATATGAAGGGCCCTATATTCAAATTTCTCACTGATCTTCCAACAGAAAAATATGCAAATACCTGGACAATTTGTAAAAGAAAAAATATAAATAGCTGTTAAAGATGTGATGAATGTTTGCTGTCACTAGAATCAAAGAAATATAAATCGAAACGACATCACTCTCCAACCATCCCGTTGGAAGAGGCCTTTGCTAACTCGCCATTTCAGAGGTGATGGGCAACAGCCTCACCCCAGCTGGCAACACACACGCTTTGATCCAGCAATTCAACCCTAAATGTAGGTATAAGTACACACAAGGATGTTCATTAGATGACACAACAGGGAAAATAGGGACATCTTAAAGGTCCATCAACAGAGGGCTGGTTCAATAACTATGGCACATAGGCAGCCACTATCGAGGAGGGCCTGTTTCAGTGACACAGAAAAACGTTTACGCTAAAGCAGATTACAAAATAATATACTGTAATCTTGTTTTTGTAAAAAATCATTTATACACACAAACACATATAATTGAGGAAGAAAAAAAAAGACTAAAGGGAAATACATAGAAATACACAGAGAAGAGACTGCAATGAAATGCTGCACATGGAGACATAAACATGCAAAAGACGAAAAGTAAATACACCCAAGTGTACAAAATGGTTATTTCTAGGTGGTGGGAATTGGGAGGGAATTTTTGTTTGTTTTGCTTCTATGATGACCATATATTATTTTTGCAATAAGGGAGAAAAATAACAAAAACAATAAAAATTTTTTAAAAATCACTATCCTGGCCTAAGCCAGCGGAGACCAACACTTTTGAGAGAATCAGGAGAAAACTGAGGAGGCAGATGGGAGGCTGGGAACCAGGAGCCGCTCTGGTCTCACTTCATCCACATAGTTGGCCAAATCCTTTCCCTCTGTGAACCTCAATCTATAAAATGAGGGGCTGGGCCACTTCAGTGGTTCCCAAACAGTATTGGCTGCATCAGGTTCACCTACGGTGCTTGTTTATTATATAGACAAACACACAGACAGATACGGCTGGGGCCCTACTCCAGCCCTCTTGAATCAGTCTCCAGGGGGACTGGGCAAGCCTGCTTCCTAGCCAAGTATAGGAACCACTGGACTAGATAACCCAAGGTGTACCCCCTACTATACACCCATCCCTTGGCCCACTCCCAAAGAATCCTGTTTCTCCTCACCAAGCACATCCTGGGGGCTGCTGGGGAACTGCTTGCTGAGCACCGTCTCCAGGGCATAGCTCAGGTCCATGCTGTGCCTGGTTATCTCTGCTGGCGTGGCACCTGCCGGGAACATCTGTGTGGGCAGCTCTGAGAAGCGGATCTCTGTCCCGGCTCTGGGCTTCATCTCTGGCAGCCGGGCCAGGCCCTCCTGGTAGCTTTTGCACTCAGTACCACAGCGAGGTAGATTCTGCTCCACGCGGTCCTTGGTGTGCTTCATGGAGAGCACGGGAAGCACCTCTGAGAAGGCGCAGATCTGCCGGCTCTCGGGCTGCAGCCTCTCCATTGTGGCCTCGCTGATAAAGTTGGTGAGTGAAATCCACTTCTTGAGTGTGGCATATGGGTAAGGGCCCAGGAACTGGTCCAGCTCCTGGAGGTTGGCCCTCATGGCCTCCACCTCAGCCTCTGGGGCTGGGGACAGGTCTACCTCTTCTTGGACGGCATTCCAGCGCAGGACTATCAGGCCTCGCTGCTGCAGGCTAAGGAAGAAGCCCATACGAGGCCCCACCTCCCTGGGATTGGCCTTGTCCACAGAGCTGTAGTGGAGGAAGTGGATGCCTGGTGGGATCATCTTCACACCCCGGAACTTGGGGCCCACCTCCCAGGAGTTGTAGTCAATGCCAAACTCTGTCCCCTTGGGCATATTCAGGATGACCACAGTGGCCCCTTCAAAGAAGAGGCGCTTGGCAAGCTCAGGATCCATCTGCATGGCAGCCATGGGATCAGTGCTAGGTGACCAAAGAGAGAATCCCTCTTGTCTTCCAGAACAACTGAAAAAGAAAGAAATCAGAGTTAACTGGAACTTGGGGAAAGATGTTTCATTTGCTGAGGATTCTGCATGTGCCAGACTGAATCAGACCCTTGACATAATTATCTCCCTTAATCCTCGCCACAACCCTGCATCAATTTTACTGATGAGGAAAATAAGACTCAGGAAGAAGAGGATTTTGTGTTTTGGTTTATTGAGAAAGAACACTCACTGCATAGCCAGAAAGATATTGAGGAGAAGTGACGTGCTCAAGGTCATGCAAGGTCACACAAATTAGAACCCGGTACCCTGTCCTCCAGGCCAGTGTTCTTCTCACTGTTCACTCAGGATCTGCTCCCAGATCTCTCTCTCACAACAGGATGAAGGTGGGGAAAGCCTGGGTGGTCTATTCGAAACTACAACTGTGCCTAAACTGCCTCACACTATAACTCTGCCTAAACCCTATTGCTGAAGAGTCCCAAGGAGCTGAGAAGGATGATTAAATCCAGCATATACCCAGTTTCCCATAAGCCTCAAGGAAGGCCCAGACACGGACAGAAGGTGGAAAGTGGGTGCTCGGCATCTAAAATTCACAAAACGTGTCGGAAGCAGAAAGCTTTTCAACCACAAACCTCCTCTTCTCCTTTTACACATAAAAACCCCTGAAGTCCAGGGAGTGAAACAACTTCCCATAGGGCCTACAGTCAGTGGCAACTCTGGATCCCTTCCCCAGAATGGATTCAGGTGGCATGGCTGGCCTAGGATCAGTATTTAGAAGAGAAAGAGCAAGAACACTTATTTTACCCACCTCTGAACTATCCATGGGGACATACTGGCACAACGTGTAGGCAGGCAGACACTGCCTGGGTGGTATTTATAGGAATGGTTCCAACATGAACTAATTTAATCCAAACAATTATCTAACCTTCTAGTCCCAAGATGCTTACCTATTCAATTTAACAAATAATCACTGAGTGCCCACACCGTGCCAGATCTTCGCCTGAAACAACGATCTGTGAAACATCCACAGAGTAGGACAGTCACCACTACCTCTAGGCACTTCCAACCCAGCTGGATGCACAAACAAGACCCCCAAATTTCACAAACTGAAGAACCAGCTGCCTGTTTAATTCTTCTTACTCTTTTTTATGTTAAGCAAACAGAACAAAATAAAACAGTGAGGAAAGGAAGGCCAACCTGGTTTCAAAAATGTTAGGGGCAATGTTTTATCATCTTAACCTCAAACCACGACAAATGACTCACCCTACATCAGCATTTTTTTTTTCCTAACTGCAAGTCAAAACTCATTAATGGGTTAAGAAATCAATTTAGAGTTTCAACCAGCATTAATTTTTTTTTAATGGAAGGAGAATTAAAAAAAAAAACAAAACCCAGCATGCATCATGAGTAATAAAGATAGTAACTGTCTTCTGAAGTTTTATGTGTTTGTATGGATTCTTGGCCATGAGATAAAATGTATTAGTTATTGTAGGTCACAGTCAAAAAAGCCTGAAAGCCACTGCTCTAAATAATTTGCATCATCATCATCTAATTCCCAACCCTGAATTCAGAAGGTACTTAATAAATACTTGCTAAATGAAGAGCTATTGCATTTAGAATAATTGTTCATCAACTAGCCATTTTCCCTTGTGGTTGTGCTCCTCCTTGATAATGACATTCCTTTATTCTAATTACACCAGCCGTAATTCTCTTCCCTGTATCTTCAGCAGCTGGTACATGGCCTGGCACGGAGAAAATGCCCTGGGATGCACAAAGTCACATCCATCTTCTTCTCTCCATCACCTCCTTACTCCAAGTTACCCTTTCTCCATCCCAAGAGCCAGAGTGAACTTTTCAAAATGCCAATCTAAGCCACACTTAATGCCAATGTTGAGTGGCTTCTCTTATGGCTCCGGGAAAACCAGAATTTTTACCATGACCTATAAGACCTACAAGGCCTGGCCTTCCTGGCCCCTCCCAACTCCTGATTGTTTCATACCATGCACCCCCGCATCCCCCCCGCCCCCCCCCCCCCGCCCTGATTTCTGTTCCAGCCACATTGGCCTCTTACAGACCCTCAAGCAGGAGGCTCCCTGGGTAAAAAAAAAAAACTCTTCCTCAAATCATTTTTTCTGATCTCAGCTCAATATTCACTTCCTCACTAAAGCTTGCTTGACGCGGGGTTAGGTCAGGTATCCCGTGGGACCCTCACTCCCCCGACACCCTGTACCTTCCCATTTCATTGATCAGGCTACAATTTTGCGTTTATGTTTAGTAGAGGGCTGTCACCTCCGTGAGACTTGAGTGTTTTTGTTCCTCCAGCACACACTAGATGCTCGATAAGCACTTATTTAATAAAAACATGATATCCACTTTGTAGATGAGAAACAAAGGGTCGGTTTGGGCAAATTACCTTACCCGAAATTACAGAGTCGGACAGAACCAAATCGGGCGCCGCCAAGGTCTCCGGCACCCGAGTTCTCAAGTTAGGGAAACAGCGAAGTTACCCCGGGTGCCCCAAGAAGTACTGGCGACCGGGGCTCCGGTGACGGTTTATCGGGGAGAAAGGCCTGCAGAGCCACCAGGGTCCCAGCACCGGCCCACAGGGCGGGACGCGGGTCCCGGCGAGGCGCCCCACTTCAGGGCACTCCGCGATCCCGAGCCGGAAAAGCGTGGCCGGGCCACAGAGACAACGAAAGCAGAAAAGTTCCAACAGGCCAGCCGGCCGCACTCACCAGCTTCGGACTCTCCCCGCTCTCAAGCACCGCCGAAACGCACCGGAAGTTCTCGCGCTTTGGCTCGGGACGGGAGCGACGGCGAAAGCGGCCCGGCAGAGCTCTTGGTCTCGGGAGGAACGGTCCGCGCCTGCAGGTTCCGCCCCATCAAATGTTGCCTTTTGCTAGTCTAAGTCACACGTCTTAGCTCCCGAACCATGGATAACAACTTTCACCAAATTATGTATATCCTGCTCCAGAAACACATCCACCAGCCCTGGCCCTTTGGTCTCAATCAGTCATGGTCGCTGAAGCTGGGGTCAAGAGCATGGCTGCCTAGTAGGCACATCAGATGATCAGTAATGGTCCCAGTAAGTCAGTTTCGACCTGAGTATCACCACCCAGTCGCAGCTTCCAACCACAATCAGTCCTAGAGGAGATTGTCAGAAATCCAGCCTGCAGGGCAGAGAAGAACCAGTCTCAGCCCCAGTAGCCACCACATGGATCCCTGTGGCCATAATCATCCCGAGTCCTCAGGCGTGCAGGCTACAAACGTGCCACGAGGGAGGGAATTTGCCTGTCTGGTTCTCTGTTGTTTCCTTGGAACCCAGCAGGAAGGCAGGCACAAGGGCTCAGCTGGGTGTGTGTATTTATCACAAGTTTAATTAATGACTGTATTAATAAACGGCTTCTCTTTGGGGGTCTTGCTCTGTGCTGCATGGTTCTGTCAGTCAGGGTTCAACCAAAGAAGCAGAATCAATAGGAGACATATATTAAGAGGTTTATTGCAAAGAAATGGCTTATATGATTGTGAGGACTGGCTAGGTAAGTCCAAAATCCATAGGGCAGGCCATTCGTATATAACTTCTAAGCCTTACACTAACCCTAGTAAGTAGATATTAATATTCCCAGCTTACAGAAGAGAAAACCGAGGCTCAGAGAGGTTACACAGCTGGAGAGTGGCAGAGTTAGGATGCAAACCAAGGCCTGACTGGCTATTCTTGTCCCTCTGCTGCTGCTTCTTAGCTTGTCTGTCACCCTTCCTCAGTGACAGCTGGACACACCAATTTGTCTCAGTCAAAACTCATCTCTTAGTGGGTTGCAGACTAGACGAGGCCCTGCAGTCATGGCTAATCACAATAAGCTGCTGCTGGATTAACCAGAGATGACCTCCATCAGTCACAGTCACGCATGTCACACTCAGCCCGTCATGTCGGTTCCATTTCCTGCCTGAAGAAGCTCAGCTCCCTCCCTGACCCTCCTTATTCCCAGGGCTGGGTGCTGAGCTCCGTGGCCTGGTCTCAGAGCTCCCTGTACCAGCTGGGCTCACCATCTTCTCAGAGACTCCAGCACTAAATTATGGGCTTGGAAGCTACAGATGGGGGCCCTGGAATGCCACCTTATGGGTCACATGTGCATCCAGATCAGGTTTTCAACTCTGGTACTACCGACAAATCAGACCAGATTTGTTGTGGGAGCTGTCCTGTGATTATAGGATGTTTAGCAGCATCCCTGGACTCTACCTACTAAATGCCAGTAGTACCCTTCAGTTGTAACAACCAAAAATGTCTTCCGACATTGCTAAATGTTCCCTGGGGGAGGGCAAAATCACTCCCCTCCCCTCCGTTTGAGAACCACTGATCTAGATTAATCAACCCCAGGTTATTCCCAAGCAACACAGAGGCTGACCCTGTATTTCTGGGAGATAAAGATACAGATCCAGAGTGTGTGGGGACCCAATATTTGCAAACCGTGTCCTATTCCAGAACTCCACGGGTGACAGATAACTAAAAGAAATGTACAGGAAAAAATTCAGGGAAGGATTCACAAAGCTCCTGAAAGCAATTGCCTCTGACAATGGACAGGAGTCTGGAGAGGGTTGAAGAATTGCTTTCCACTGCACAGCATTTTGTGTCATTTAGTGAGTTACCTTTAGAAAGAAAAAAATAGTATTTGGTATTCAAAATTACTAGGAAATGCTCAGAATTTAAGTTTAGAATAGTATTTAGAATGGTATGTACCGGATAACTTAGGCTCTGAAGAGATATACATACCTGGAAAAAGAGTGGAAGAAAATGCACCCAATTATTTGCAGTGGTTCTCACTTGTGAGATTTGGGGCAATAAAGAAAGGTGAGTCACTTAGTAGAATAGCAAGGAAAGTGTGGTACATGCAACTCAGGGAGCCCAAGGAGTAAGTTTTACATGGATTATGGCTTTTTAATTTTATATCTTTGCATTTATTTTTATGAAGACCTCCTTTCCTTGGCAAGTGACACTAGTTTTATGGAAGTAATATCGTTTCATATATATGTATGTATATATATATATATACACACACACACACACACACACATATATATAATTTACAGGGTTCGTTTGAATAACTAAGTCACTAATGGGACAGGTGGCACACACAGGGATATGGCAATGTATGTGGTGGTGGGCCAAAGTTGAAGCTGGGGGTTGCTCTATACATGCATACTAGGCTCCCATGGAGAGGGTTGTAGGAAGAGACCCCAGTGTAAGTGTTCTTCTTTCAGAAAGAGGAGGGATCATGCTGTTCCTCCATACATCAAGCCCCTCTGTATCCTGGGGCCCACATCTTACTGTTCCTTCTGCCTAGAATATTCTTGCCCAAGTCCCTCACCTTACTGGCTCTTTCTCTTCATTCAGCTCCTCCTCAGGGAGGCCGTAACTGGCCACCTTATTGAAGTGGTCTCCTTCCGCAACCATTACCTGCCTCTGTGCATTTGCTTCCTGGTGCTGATCACTCTGGAATTGCCTCTGGCTGCTTGCCTGTTGTATTATGTGTCCCGTGCTCTACCAGCCCGACAGGTCCTGGAGGGCAGGAACTTAGTCTTACCTGCTGCGCCTGCACAGTCTAACCCAAGTCATGGACCACACTGGAAGCCGCAAGTACGTGTTGAATGGAAGTGTTCAAGGGTGGGATTTCTTCCACCCCCGTTTTCGCCCTTCCCACAATGCCAACTTGTACTGGTAGCTAAGGTCAGAGAGAGAGAGAGAGAGAGAGCAGAGATGCCAAGGCAGTTTGTGGTTCAGCATCAAACACATTTATTTCACTTTTATTGAGTATACAAGAACAGAGAGCACACGCATACAGCACAGAGCACTGAGGTGGGGGAGCGTGGGGACGAGAGGGGAGGGAGGGGTGTGAGTAAAAAGGAACAGGACAGCATCGCAGTTGGTTGGTAAGTGCTTTTGAAAAAAAAAAAAAAATCCTTTAGAGTGATGTTGCTCATGCAATTGCAGGCCAGTCTTGGAATGTGCTTGCAGGATTCACAAACTGAAACAGGTCCTGGCACTTCCTGTCCCCTCAGACGGAAAAGATCCCAAGAAAGCAAAACAAGAGAAAATGAAGATCTGTGGGACAGCAGACCCGGAAAAGACCCTGGAGAGCATCTGGTTTATCCTGCTTATTTTGCAAACAGGGAAACTGAGGCCCCAAAGGAGGGGGGTGGTGGGACTAGTCCAATGTCACATGGTGAGTTAGGGGCTGAGTCAGGATACCCTCCAGGAGATTTTCCATATGCTACATGGTCTCCTGGGTGGAGAGGCAGCACAGAAAGGATGAGAAATGTAAAAAGGAAAAAAAGAAAAGTAGGTTGAAGACAGACAAGACAAACATCTATATTGTCTATGAAGAGGAGGATGGGAGGAAACAGTGCCCTAGATTTCAGCTTTGCAGCTCCCCTCCTCCCTTGTGGCGCTCCCTGTCTCTCCACGGAAGGAAGGTCACAGCATCCGTGGGACGGAGAGTTCCACAAACCCTAGCCGGCCCACACGCTAAGCCTGGTCACTTCATCCCTGCTCTGAAGCCACAGAACAAATACTCTCCCTCTGAGGTGTGACCAGTGTGCTCGGGACGCCTGGTTCCTGCAAAGACAGGGGTGCCTGAGCCAAATTCCGGGTAGCCCAGGGAGGATGGAGTCATTCCAGTTCTTGGCCCAGAAAGAATAGGAGCTCTCCGGTTGAAAGGGGTGCGAAGGAGGTTCTGTGGCTTCTCCACCAAGATGGTAAAAAGAACCCGGTGCATGGAAGTGAGCTGTCGCACTCAGGGGGGTTGGAGTGGGGGCCACCTGTCTTGCTGGGAGGCGGGGGGGATGTGGCTGAATCTCCCATCTGAGCCCCAGGGGCAGGGCTCTCTCTGCCTGCTCTCTGTCCCATTTTTGCCCACAGACGCACACACTGCTCTGGTTTCTCATCCTCGGGTCAGCACCAGCTTAGCAAACTAAGTGTATATGTCATTGGGGTAAGTGAGAAGTACGCCGGGGCCCTCGGGGGGGGGGGGGGGTATCCCTGGGCAATGGCCAATAATTGGAGAGAATGTGGAAATGCTCTCAGAGGGGCAAGCCATGATTGAAGATGTAAGGCTGGCTGAGAGGACTTCCAGGTCCCTCCCCTCCCCCACATTCTCTCCTGCAGTCCCAGCATAGTGCCTGGCACAAGTAGGTACTCAATAAATATCTGCTGAATGAATTTAATGACCGCTGTAGAGGTGGGACAGGGGGAGGTAATATGGGACTGAGAAATTAAAAGTGCGGTGGGGACATATTCCTTCCAAAGGGGACTCATTGAGCTCAGGGAAGCAGCTCCTGGCAGGCAAGACTGGGAAAGCTCAAGCTTTGGAAGGGGTATTCTCCAAGGGCTTCTGTGGTCTGAAGGCAATTCTGGGGACTGACAGTACAGGCTCAGAGCTCAGACGCTGGCTAAAGGGGAGGTTTCCAAAGCCAGAGTCTCATACATAGAAGGAGCCTCTGAGCAATACCACCTTTCATCTGAGCCTTGTCGGGGGGGGGGGGGGGGAGGGCAGGCAAAGCCTTTGGAAATGAAGTTCTGCCCCATGGGGCCTGCCCTGTGTTCATGGTCTCTACCATGGCTGCTTTGGCCCAGGAGGAAGAAAACGAATGTGGGAGGCACAGAGGACAAGAGGCAGCCAGGCTCTCCAGCCAGCCAGGTTAAAGCCACCATCCTGTGCGGCGGCTGGTGGATGTCACGTCGCTTTGCATGGGGAGTCAGCTGTCACAATGTGGTCAGGGAAAAGATATGTGGCCGAAGAAAGAGAAGACTGAAAACCAAAGCAAACCCCCTAGGGAGGTATGGGGGCTGAGCCAGGGGACCCCTGTAGCGGAATCCTGACTCTGGACCCCACACCTGAGCACAGACCAGGCCCTGGTGGCTACTGCCCGAGGGGGATGCGGGGAAGGCATCTTGGACTACATCTGTGTTTCTTCCTTCTTGCCAAACCCCTGCCCCTCCATCTGGGGACCCCACCCCTCCCCACCAATCAACCAATTACAAATACCACACACTGTATTACTACGCTGAACCGTCAGCTCCTACTGCGAGCAGCCCACAGCCAGAGTCCAGGTCTCCTCGGCTGGGCCGGTTCAGTGAGATCTAAGAACCTTGCGATACATCAATCACAGTCGGATAATTTTATAATTTTAAAATGTCAGCTTCATACTTACCAGCACTGTTTATTTTAATATTTGTTTCCTGTTATATGTCATATACATAACTTAAAAGCACATCCATCCACATCTCCTACAAGCTGCACTTTCATAATGAGAACCCATAAACATACAGTGTCTACTTTCCTTCCTGTGGCTGGGTTTTCTGCTCTTGCCTTCTTTTCTTTTTCTTGTCCCAAACCAGAGTCATCTGCAGCGGCCCTTGGCGGGACTGGGATACCGAGGGTGGGGAGGGGGAGGGGGGAGCCAAGACAGAAATGACAAGACGCGTGAGGCGAGGGGGAGGGGAGGCGGAAGAAAGGAAGGTGGATTTTGCAGCCCAGTGTCAAGACCCAAAAAATAATCATCCAGGGTTCCTCCTCCTTTCCGAGTGGGGGATTTTCCTTCTTTCTTGGCAAACGGTTGACGGCGCGTGTCTTGCTGACGCGACTTCTCTTGCTTTGCTGCGAAAGTGTTTCCTTTGCACTGGAGTGGACGGCACACACCTCAGGACAAATGGGATGCTCGTCCACGCAAGGTCACGTGCAGAACCAGGGTTGTTTTGTACTCCTACGATCACTGTGGTCTGGCTTGCCTTTGTCATTCCGCAGGGCTTCGAAAGGGGGAGCAAGAGATTATTGTCATTACATATATATATTTTTTTTTTTTTTTTCCTGAAAAATCCCACCAGTTCTTCAATTTGTCTGCAAAGGAAATGTAGGTGTTCAGATGTTGGTTGTTGCTGTTGGCCGATTGCGTGACCAGCCCCAGCAGCAGTGCAAGGACGCGGTGTTTCCTGTATATATATCTATATCTATATATATCTATATATATATGCTTTTCCTTTCCCAGTTCCTCTTCGGTGACAGTATGTCACAGCTGGGACTTCGGTGTTGAGTCGGAGAATCCAGAATGAAGGCCCCTTCTTAACGGTTCTCTGGCTTGGGTTGGACCAGAAACGCCAGCATCTCTTCACAGAGGTCAGGATTCCTAGGGCCGGAGGCGTGGAGGGAAGGGGACACAAAGGAAGAGGATGAGAAAAATTAATAACTTTTGCTCATTCATCTTTAAATATGTGGCAAGAGGTTGTTTTAGCTACCTTTCCTGTGGCTCAAGAAGATAAAGTGACTTGTCCAAGGCCACACAGCTGAGACCTGAACCCACATCTGTCTGGAAATCTGTCCAAATTTCCTTTAACACTAAGAAGCTCAGATCACATACATGCAGTTCACCTTTTCTTCCTACCTTCTCTCTGTCTAAGAACTGTTCAGTTGTGATGGCAGAAGCTCTTTGTTTTTCCTCTCTGATCTCCATGGGCCTGTGTGTCCTGGGGATTAAACCCCAGGGAGCAGCATTTCCATAAAGAAACTGGAGCCTGGATTCCAACTCAGGTTTGACTCCAAAATTTTGTGGTCAAGGGCATGAGCTCTGCAAGCAGACCTCCTGAGTTCATTCCATAGCCTACGAGCTCTGCCACCTTGGGTGAGTTTATTAACTTCTTTAGGCCTCCAGGGCTCGTCACTGTGCGTGGTGCATGGGAGACACCCAAAACCACTTAACAGGTGGGGTATCCTTCCTGCCCTCTCCCACTCACATAGGGTCAAGTACGAATGGACTCACAGACATGAAATCCTTCTCAGTTTAGTTGACAGATGGGAAAATGGAGACCCAGAGGGTTCAATGTCATAGTGAATTGGTGACAGAAATGAGACTAGAACCCAAGGTTCCTGCTCTGAAACAGGTCATTTTTTCCCCTCCCACTTCATCCAAATCTTGAAGGTAAGGAAGCTGGGGGTTGCTGGCAGTGTTTGGGAGACAGGTCCTGTCTGAAGGAGGTGGGCCAGTGGGAGAAGATGGAGCAGAAACCGCACATCTGGCCGTGAGTTGCCAGGGGTAAAAAAAGACCCTGTGTCAGATGCGTGGCTGTGCTTTACACACTCACAGCAGGAACTTCAAAGAGGAGGAACTTCAGCAGATGTTTCTGGAGGATTCAGGGAGGGGAGAGAAGCTAAAGGCCAGCAAGACGGACACCTACAAGGAGACAGGGCTTGTACACCAGGCTGGTGGTAGAAGCTTACGGTCTGACTTACTCAGGGCTCTCATCCATCGCTGAACATGGCGAAACCTCAGGGGATAAGGATGCGGGCTCAAAGCACTAAGCACTTTCTGTATGTGAGGCCCTGTCCTTGTGTGTCACTGCTGTGGACTGAATATTTGTGTTCCCCAAATGGGCAGGTTTATGCCCAAATGGGCAAATTTATGCCCCCCAAATGCATACGTTGAAGCCTTAATTCTCAATGTGAGGGGCTGGGGGTCTTCGGGAGGTACTTAGGTTAATAAGGGTGGAGCCCTCATATATAGGATTAATGCCCTTATAAAAAGATACACAAGAGAGATTCTCTCTCTCTCTCTCTCTCTCTCTCTCTCTCTCTGTGCTCCCTTCCATGGAAGGATACATAGAGAAGACAGCCACCTGCACCTTGATCTTGGACTTCCCAGCCCCCGTAATTGGGAGAAAGAAATGGGCGTTGTTTAAGCCACCCAGTCTATGGTGTACTGTCATAGCAGCCCAAACTGAAGTGCTCACAGATGTTTAATTCTTATAGCAGCTCAATTTCTAGGTTAACTGTAGATGAGGAAACTGAGGCCCAGGGAGGTTCCCCTGGGCAAACTGCTAGCAAGGAGTTTCTGGCCCCAAAGCCTGGGTGTGTTCTTTCTACTTTATTCTGCTAACTACCTGAGGACTTTTTTTTTTTTTTTTTACAGTGGCAGGCTGCACTTTAAGTCCTATAGCTCAGTGTACACACGATGTGGGATGTCTTCAAAAGCCTTTACACACTTCAGAAGTGCCAGGGACATCTAAACAATGCCATTTATTCGTCTCAGTTTATTATATCAGATTCTGAATGTGCAGTGTTTTGTTAGCTTACTTTGCGTTGATAGTCATCAGTCACCCTTCGCTTTTACTGAGCACTTATTATGTGCCAGGCACTGTGCTAAGTACTGTTATATATATGATCTCACCAACCCTACAGGATAAGGAGGTTAGGACCCACAGGGTGGCTTTGGAGTCTCATAGATGAGCTTTGACTCCCGCATCAAGCCCTATGGCTCTGAGCAAGTCACCTAACATCTCAGGGGCTCAGTTTCCTCATTTCTGAGAATGAGCAGATGACAATACTTAGGTCAAGTGCATGGCCTGGTGCCCAGAATAGTGTAAACATGCCATACATTTCAGCAATTATTATCACCGTGATTATGGTTGTTGACCACTAGCTGATGAGCAAAGTGCAGAGATAAATAATCTGCTGGAAGTCACATTGCTAATAACAGGCAGGGCTGAGACTGAATCCAGGTTTGCAGGATTCCAGATCTTTCCTTGGGCTACCAAGATACATCCATCCATCAATCCGACATGTTTCAAGCACTTTAAAAAAGACTTTTCAAATTCAGAGAAGACCTCTCCCCCAGAATGAGTGAGTCTGACAAGATTAGGGGGCCAAAGGTGGTTCCTAACTAGTGGCAAAGCATGTGGGGAGAAAAGGCAAGGGAGAAACTTCTGTCTTTCCAGGGTGACATGAACAAGGTGACCTTTACAGAAGAATCTGACAGGGAGAGAAGGAGAGACAGGAAGAGAGGGAAGGAGAGAGAGAGGGAAAGAAGGAAAGAGAGAAGGAGGGGGTTGGAGAGAGAGAGAGAGGAGAGACAGAGAGAATGGTGTTGCGTGGGACAATGGCATCAAAGGAAGAACTAACAGAGGGGTGAGGAGGAAGAATGAGACCCGCCAAGTGGGCAGATATGAAAGGCTGCACGGTGGCAGGGGTGGGGGGAGTTGGGGGGGCAGGATGTGGTGGCAGGGACTAGAGCTCTGAGCGGCCAGGGAAAATGGGAAGGCAGGAGCCTGGGGGACCGGCTGGAAATGCTCTGGGAAAGATGGGGAGGAACAAGACAGGGAAAGGAAAAAATAGGAGAAACACGTTACAGGTACTCTAGGAAAGCAAATAAACAGCCAGAAGTCATTGCCTGGGAGGCGCTTGCCCCATCTCTCCATTTTGCAAGTGAGGAAACTGCATGCCCACGGGGGAATGGCTGGGATTGGAGTCAGCACAGAATTCTTTGCACCAGTGGCTGCACAAGGACTTCCTAAGGACCAACATATAAATACAGACTCCCAGGTCCGGTCCAGTCCTTCTAAATCAGACTTTATGACCACAGTTCTCCCAGGTGAAGCTGCCAGTGCGCTACCACTCGGAGATCTGGGGGATGAAAAGCAAGAATAACTGGACGATGGAGTGGACAGGAGGGACAATTTGCATGGAAGCCTGAGGAAGGCTGGGAGGTAGGCTCTGCCCATGACCAGCTTATACTTCGAGAGCAGTGCTGTCTAACAGAAACAGAAACAAGAGCCACGTATGGAATTTACATTTCTCTAGACGGAATTCGCTAAATTTTCTAGATATTTCTAATTTCCTTAAATCTTCTAGATAGAAACTTTTCATTTCTAAATAAAAATTCTAGATTTTAAATTACCTTAAAATGAGTAACAGAAACAGGGGACATGAACTTCAGTAATATGTTTTACTTAACCCAATATATCCAAACGTGATCATTTGAACATGTAATCAACAGAAACACTATTGAGACATTTGCATGCCTTTTTTCATATTAAGTCTTCAAAATCCTGCATGCATTTTACCCTTAAAGCAATCTGATTTCAGATTAGCCAATTTCAAGTGTCCAGTAGCCATGTGTGTTGCATGATGACAAAGAAAACATGTCCATCGCTGCAGAAAGTTCTGTTGGACAGCACAGTCTAGACCAGGGTCTGGCAGCCTTTCAAAGTGGCAGGAAATGTTTCAGTGCTTTTTCTTCTGACAGGAAAGGGGTGGTGATCCGCATTCTTGTATCTCTCTAGAGATCACGGTCTCATTCATCAGGGAAGAGGGCAAAAAGGAGATCTACTCCTTGTAGGTCTTTTAGATGAGTTCTTTTTTCCATTGTGGTACAACGTATGAGACGTGTAAAGAGCACAAATCCAAGTATACAGCTCAACACGTTTTTATGTATGTATACACCCAAGTGACCTACCTGTTCAAGACGCTGACATTTCCAGCACCCTCAAAGGTTCCCTTGTGACTCCTCCCTGTCAATATCACATCCCGGAACTAAGCACTATTCTGACTTTTGCCATCATTGATTAGTTGGCCTACTTTTGAACTTGTATAGAATTCTCGCACTCAACTCAATGTCTGTGAGATTTCATTTTATAGACCTGATAAAATTCAGTCAATTTCCAGAGGGACCTGAAGAACCCCTCCCCCAATTTAGGCTGATAAAAGCCCTATCCGCTATAGCACCATCTCCTTCTTCTTGTTCAGCAAGGCACAGATGGTCTGTCCATAAGGAAACAGAAAAGTAAGTTTCTGGCCCAGGGTAGCCTGAGAAGTCAAGGGTTTGCAATCTAGCAACACAGATGGGATCGAGAACTCTGGTCATCATATTCCCCTTTAGCAATATCCAGTGACCTGGGATGGAGGCAGAGACTCAGGGACAGGAAGGTGGCCCTGGGCCTGAGGGGCCTTTTTCTAGCTTCAAGTTTCTAGTTAATGGCCGGTGAGGCTATGCTTGTCTCCAGCTGTCCCACCTCAGGACCTGCTATCAACCCTCTCTCCCGGTCCTTATCACTTCCAGATACACTTTTCTGGGTCTGGGGCCTGAAACCCCCAAGAAGCCAAGGAACCAGTCTTCCCCCGCCATCACCCACTCTGATTTGTTGTATTTGGGGGAGCTACTTCTCTCCTTTGAGCCACAGACCAGGAATGTGGGCACTTAAAACTGTGCTAGGGACCAAGCCACCTGACGGACTCTCAGATGGAAACGACCCTGAGAAGATCTTACCATGGTTCCCTCCTCCCTCTCCTGGCTGCTGAGCCTCAGAGGGCTTACCTGTGGCTTCCTGTCCCTCTGCTCTGGGGACGGGTCTGTTTCTCTGTATACGACAGCTTTGGTTACCAGCATGTCAGGATGCTGCAGTTTGGCCTCCTTGATGGCCAAAGCCAGGGCCTGGTAGAAAAGAGCAACAAAGTGAGGAACCACAGGATTTCGAACACAGGAGAGGCCATGGAGACCGACAAGCCCCTTCGTGTACAGCTGTGGAATAGGCCCAGGGAGGGGCAGTGGTCAAAGAGTTAAAGGGAGAGCCCAGAGCTCGGGGCCTCTGGCTCCTTCAGGCTCCCATTCTATGTCTCTTCCTTTGGGGTTCATTTGGGGTTCCTTGTCTGAACAAGGATCAGCATGAGGTGGACTTCATCTCTGCCCAGGAGGGCAGCTGTCCATGGGTGACCCAATACGGGAGAGACTGGGGGACTGGGCAGGGCCCCCGGAAACAGTGTTCCCTACCCCCATACCTGGTCTTGATCAACATCTTCATCCCCAGTGATGATGATCCGCTTCTCGATCCTCGTCTCAGAAAACCCCCCTTTCACAGTCTGTAGAGTGAGAGGGCGGCAAGGTCAGCCCTGGGTCCCGCAGGGTTGTGACAGGGCACCCATCCAAAGCACCCCTCAAGGGCGAGGCTGGAACCAGCAGTCACCTTCTCTCCTGGCTCCCTCTTCTGGTTTTAGGACTTTAGACGGCACGTCTTGCCTATGGCCACCACTCCCCCAACTACCAAACTGCCCCCCTAGGTCTTCCAAGCCCAGCTTCAGTCATGTCTCCCTGATCCCGGTTGGTGACCCTACCCCCCTCCTGCCTTGGTACTCCCCGAGCACCAAGTCTGTCTCTGTTGCGCGGTTTCCGGAGCTCTCTGCCTCACGTTGACCTTGTGTGTGTGACCGGGCCTGGCTCACTAGGCTGGAGCTCTTGAGGGCAGGGGCTGCATTTTTTTCATTTCTGTATCCCCTCCGCCCCTCCCCGCCGTCCAATCTGACCAGGGCAGGTGCTAAATGCAGATTTGTTGAATGAACACATGAATGAAATGTGAATGGTGACAATCTTCTATCTTAAATGACTTCAAACAATACTACAAGAGAAAACTGCATTGGTAATACTTAGAACCTCCAATGTTTTCTGAAAGCGCAGGGTTTGGGTGCAAGTTTAGAAGTAGAAGATGGGGAAGGACCTAATTGCTTGGCGTATCAAGGAGAGTGGTAGCTGAGGGACATCCCAGCAGGAGCAGACAGACAGAAGGGGGCTCCTGGTTGGCAGGGAGGGGAGAAACTTTGGGAAGAAGAGTTTTCTGAGCTGTATGCGGTGGGGTGTGTGATGGAAAACCTTCCCATAAAACTTTCAGTGAAGTCAACATTGCTCACAAATGCTTTTGGTGAGAGTGGGGGCGGGGGGCTTCCTGGGGAACGTGCAAAGGTTTTGAGTCTGGCAGGAGTCCTGCACCCACGGGAGGGAGCAGGGCTGGGTCGGTGTGTGCATGGGAGGGCCAGCAGACGTCCCCCTTGGATGGCTCAGCAAAACCTCAACTTCAACCTGCCTCCCTGGCCCCTCTCCTCCAGGCCTCCCTTTCTGGCCTGGGCCCCCTCCTGCCTCCCTCCTGGCCACTCAGGCATGGAGATGCTTGGCCAGCCTGCCCCCAGCCCTCTGTGCTCATTGGCTGAGTCACAGCTGATGCCTAGGGAGTGACCCCCTCCCATGGCCCCGCCTCTTCCTTCCCCCACTGTGGTTCAGAGCCCTGTCCAGGCTCCCCAACCCTAGTCACTCCAAGACTCTCCCTCTCTTCTTTCCTCCATCTACCTGCGCATCCTGGTGGACCTAATCTCTTCTCCTTAAGCCTCTTTGCGCTGGGTCATGCCCCAGTTAAAAAGGCCTCTTAGACCCTTCAGAGTCACATCTGTCCTGGGATTTGTCTCATTTGTCTCTCCTTGTCTTCCCCTGCCTCCAGTCCACCCCAATTCCCCACAGCTACGCCCCCTGCATGCTCTTTCTCCCTGACGGAGACCACTGTCGCTGTCCCCACAAACATGGATCGTCGGCAGCCGCCATCAGCACCCCTTGCACAGAGGTGGGCGTAAGGTTGACACTCACTAACATCCGCTCAGTGAACAAATAAACACATACACGGTCTCTGCTCCCATCTTCTGCATCGCTTAGAACACCTGCATCTGTCTTCTCCTCCCTCACGAGTCCTACCTGGCTTCCTAAGACCCTGCACAAATCCCACTTTTACCAGACAACCCCTCCTCACTCTTTGAGGCTCCCTTACATCACCCCCTCTAAATCCTGCCAGCACTTAAGGTCCATAAGGCGCAAATGCCATGGCTCAGAATTACTTCAGGTGAGGTGGTCTCGCCCCCCGCCAGCCTGGCTGTTGACGTTGAAGGGCAGGGTCCGTGCCTAGGACAACCCGTAGTACAGAACAAAGCGCACAGCACTCCAGAAACTAGACCACCACAGGTCTTCTCTGTGCACGATCGAAGGCACAGCGAAGGCAATGACCTTCCCCAGCCCCGCAGCCAGGCTGGGGGTAGACGGCGCCCTGCTGCTACTCACTTTGGTAACATGGGTGGTGGTGGAGGTGGAGAGGGTTTCCGCAGTGGCGCCGTACGTGCTGGTGAGGACATCTTTCCCGATGATCTGCAGAATATAACCACCCCCCACCCCAGGGGTCAGGTAAGGACACTAGGCTCTGCAGGGTGGAGGTCAGGGGGTAAGCCAAGGGGGCCCCACGAAGGTGAAGTTTGGAAGCCAAGATGCTTCAAATCACTGATTCTAAGAATTCAGGAATACTGGAATCTTCAGAAGGCTAGATCCATGAAATTCTCAAACCGCTGACTCTCAGATTCCTAGAACCCGAGGTTCCCGTGGCCCAGAATCCTAACAAGACCCCAGATTTTAAGAATCCTGGCATCTTAGAAGAATGAATAGGGGATTCAGGGTAGAAACAGAGCCCTCCCGAGCCCCCACCCCGTCACAGCCGGGAACATGTGGCCTCCAGGGCTAGACAAGGAGAAGGACAGACTTGGAGAATGCAGGAGATGCAAGAGACCTCACAGTGACAGACTCAGGCCCACGAGAGCCACTGACAGAGCCACATCCAGAGTGCGAGCCTCTGGACTCCTAGTCCATTTTTCCTCCTGGTCAGTAAGGAGAGCAGATGCAAACGAGCTGTCCCATCACAGGTACCACCAAGGAGGGGGACTGCTTCACCCTCACACTGCGATGCCCTCTGGTGTGTGTTATGTGGGGGGTGGAGGCGATGGATGAGACTCTGGTGGGCACAAGGGAGCCCTGCGGGCATCTGAGAACAATCCAGGTTCCTGGCGCTGGGCTTCAAAGGGCAGCCCACTGGGCTCTACGCTGCACTTGCTGAGGGCCACCTATGAACCGCATTCTCAGCACAGAGTCCCCTAGCCTGAGCTGGCCCTACCCACTTACCGGAGAAAGAGAACGGATATCCGTGGCCACCGTCTGTGGGCCTGGGATCATGGCGGCTGCCCCCTTCCCGGACTTGAGACTGTTCTCCTGGGGAAACAATAGCGCTCAGATGGCCAGATCTCACGTGGGTGGGCCCCCAGGATGGCCAGAGCCCACAGCCGTGTAGCTCTCACGGCCACGAGGTGGAGGAGTGACACTGTCACGGGCTCACATGCTCACACACACACCTGCTCTCACACCCTCTCACTAGCTCACACACTCACGCACTGGCTCACCCATTCACCCGTTCAACATTTAGAGTGCCTGGGGTTAGGGGTTAGGGACATTGGTGAACAAGACTCTGGTTTTGCTCTCAGGAAGCACTAACAAAGGAGGGGAGACGTTCAGGCTCTCGTCCTGGCCCTGCCATGTTCTAGCCACGTGAGCTGGGGCAGAGCTACCCCCTCTCCACGGGCCCCTGCAATGTCAGTCTGTCAATGGTAACAGATGCCCCACTCTGGTAGGGGATGCTGATTATGGGGGAGGCTGTGCGTGCACAGGGCTGAGGAGCATATGGGAAATCTCTCTGTATATATCCCCATATATGGAGCATATGGGGTACCTTCCTCTCAATTTTGCTGTGAAACTGCTCTAAAAAAATAAACTGCTCTAAAAATATTATAAAAAGAAACCCCGGGGCGCCTGGGTGGCTCAGTTGGTTAAGCGACTGCCTTCAGCTCAGGTCATGATCCTGGAGTCCTGGGATCGAGTCCCGCATCGGGCTCTCTGCTCGGTGGGGGGTCTGCTTCTCCCTCTGATCCTCTTCCCTCTCATGCTCTCTGTCTCTCATTCTCTCTCTCTCAAATAAATAAATAAAATCTTTAAAAAAAAAAAAAGAAACCCCGCCCAACTCCCACAGAAACATTATGAGGTTAGCAGAGGAGAAAGGGCTTTGCAAATGTTAATCTTAGGATAAACGTAGGAACATAGGTTGGCTACTAACAACATAATACCTACTTCTGAGTACTTGGTACGTGCTCGGTATTATACTAAGGATGCACTATCTCATTTAATCCCTGGAACAACCACAGGAAATTGTTTTAATATTCTTGTTTCAGAGTTGAGAAACTGAAGGCCAGAGAATGTCAAGTGGCTTATTCACGTCCACCAGCAAGTGAATTACAGAGCGCAGATTTAGACCCATGTTCATCAGACTCCAAGCCCAACGTGCAACACTACTCTGCCCTCAGAACTCTTACCCTGGAGCAACTCTCCTGGTCCTATGGTGGATTCTAACTGCCAGAGACTCCAACCCCATGTCTGGCAGGGGGTCCAGCCGCCCACCTCTACCTCCCACTTTCCGCACCATCTTGGGCTCACCCATGTCTGTCCAGGGGCCCAGAACTGTGTCTGTTCTGCAGCCCCCCAGCAGCTGAACCCTGGTCCTGGTCTGTGCACGGTACTAGATGTGGACCTCTGGCTGTCAGGGGACAGCTAAGAATGGGAGCCCTCTGCCTTTGCCCTGCCTAACCCCCCCAGGGCCTGCCTCCAACTGAGGCAGTGACCCGTTACCTGGCATTCCCTCAGTAAGCAACTTTCTCAAATGCAGTCCCAGAATGTGGCCTGGCAGCAGGCCTTAAAATGGGCAGTCTTGCCCACAGACACAAAAAGATGCTCAATATCACTCATCAGCAGGGAAATGCAAATCAAAACCACAACGAGATAGCTGCTTACACCTGTCAGAAAGGCTAGTCTCAAACAGACAAAAAACAAGTGTTGGTGAAGATGTGGAGAAAAGGGAGCCCTCGTGCACTGTTGGTGGGATGGCAAACTGGTGCAGCCACCGTGGAAATCCTGTATGGAGGTTCCTCAGAAAAAAATTAAAAATAGAAATACCATAGGATCCAGTAACTCCAGTACTGGGTATTTACCACAGAAAACAAAAACATTAATTGAAAAGATATACACACCCCTATGTTTATTGCAGCGTTATTTATAATAGCCAAGATACGGAAATAGCCCAAGTGTCCACCAATAGATAAATGGATAAGGAAGATGTGATCTCTAATGTTCTTACTCAGCCATAAACAAGAATGAGATCTGACAATTTGCAACAGCATGGATGGACCTAGAGGGTACGATGCTAAGTGAAATAAGTCAGACAAAGACAAATGCCATATGATTTCACTTCTATGTGGAATCTCAAAAACCAAACAAACCAATGAAAAAAGCACAAACAGATCATAAATACAGAGAACTGGGAGTTGCCGGAGGGGATGGGGTGGAGGGATGAGCAGCCAGGGGTGAAGGGGAGTGCGAGGTGCAGGCTTCCAGCTCTGGAATGAACAGGTCACGGGCACGAAAGGCACAGCACAGAGAACACAGTCAGCGGTACTGAACTAGGGCTGCGTGAGGACAGATGGCAGCTACGCTCGTGGTGAGCGCGGCATACTGTGCACCTGAAACCCATGTCACGTTGTGTGTCAACTATGCTTCAACTCAAAAAAAGGGTGGGCGCAGCCTTCTGGGCTCCATGCTTCCTTCCTGCCAGCCTAGGACAGTCCTACTGTCACTCCAGGCAATTCTCCCCCAAAGCCTCTTCTCCCACTGCTCCCTCCGTCCTGGATGAAGCCTCACCTCCATCTTCACACTGAAAAGAGAGGCCACTAATGGGGACACAGGTCATTCGAAACAAGGCACCATCTGCTCTGCCTGCCTCTCCTTTATCTTCGGCCAGTCCTCTCGCCTGCCTCCAGGAGGTGTGGCTTCTCTCCCTGGCCAGGGCAATGCCACCATCTGGGCTCTGGACCCTTCCTCCCTCCAGCTGAGGGCTCTCTTCCTCACCACCCTCTCTTGGGGCCGCCTCAGCCATTCAAGGCTTTCTCCCATGGCCACTGTCCCCTATCTCTTCATCAATAGCCCAGATCTTTCTTGAAAACTAGACCTTTAAGACCAATTGTCCCCTCGACATTTCCCCCTGGAAACGCCCCACAGGCACCTTGGACTCATCAGATCCAACATGGAATTCAGTGCCTCCCCACCCCTGACACATACCTGCCACTAAAGAGCAGTCCCCTCCAGGGCTCTCTGTTTGCATCGGAGCTACTCAGACTTGAGGGGTGGCACAGACAGCTGGGCCCTGCCCCAGAGTTTCTGATTTGATAGGTTTGGGGGGGGGTGCAGAGATTTGCTTTTCTAAAGGTTCCCAGGACCACGCTTCAAGAATGCCTAGGTTAGGGCTAGGTCACCAGCCCATCTTGTCCTCTGTCACCCGAACATTCTGTCACTGACCAAATCCTGCACTTTCCTCCCTCCAGTTATCCCTTAACCCTGCACCCTTCTCAGCATCCACCTCCTTGCACACGGGCTCCGCTGCAGCCCCTAAACCAGCTCCCTGCCTCTCTCTACATCTCTCCCAATGGTGTGCGGGCTTGGGTTGCTGTCTGCCTTCCTCAGTGCGGGTCTCACAGCGCCGGGCTCACAGCACTGGGCACAGCGTTCAACAAATATTCGCCAAGGGAAGAAGGAGGGAGGGAGGGAGGGAGGACAGGAGGGAATTTTTTTCTCTAGTGACGTCCCAGAGTTGCCAGGGTAAATCTTCCTAAAACACAGAAACACATGTTTGATGACATCATGCCCCCGCATCAAAAGTTGATGCCCCACTGCATCCAGGATGAAGTGTGAACTCCCTACGTGACATCTGAGGCCCTTCACGCCCTGGCCCAGCCTACCTTTCCAGCCTCTTCTCCCCCCCACCCCACTCCTCTTCCATACACCTGACATCTTGCTTCACTGACCACCTGCTTTCCCCAAATGCTCTGCTCCTTCCCATCCTTTTGCCTTTGCACCTGCTGTCCCCACTGCCCAGAATGCCTTCTGCTGTGGCCGCACCGTCATTTATCCTTGAAGGATGGCTCAGATGTCCCTGCCGAGGTAAAGCCCACTCAGCCCTCCTGGCAGGGGTGTCACCCCATACCTCTCCTCCTTGCACCCCCTTGGAAAGCATTATCACACTGTTCCATGAAGGCAGAGAAAAGAAAGCAGTTCACATTTACAGACCCCTTACTATGTGCCAGGCATGCCTTTGCACAGATTACCTCGGTCCCTCCTTGGGTCAACCCTTTGAGGGATGTGCTATTATTGCTCCCCATCACCCCCTTTTACAGAAGTGGAAACTGAGGCTTGGAGAGGTTCAGGTAACTTGCCCAGGGGTCATCCTGCCAGGACATGGGAGAGCTGGGCCTTGTTCACCACTGTGTGCCCAGGACCTAAACAATGACACGTGCCCGTGATCATTACTTGAACAAACGACTTCTTGCAGGCAGTGTATTTCCTTCAACTCTGTATTCCGCGAATCAGGCAGGCAACAGAGACTAAGAAATGTTTTTGGAAGAAATGAATGGATGGATGGATGGGTGGGTGGGTAGGTGGGTAAATGAATGATGTAACTGCCTACTCACCATAGTATGAACTTAAATTTAGCCCTAGAAGCGTCCCGATGCCACGTGGAGAAGGACTGAGGGAGAGGTCGGACAGAGTGACCAGGATAGAGGGCGCGAGCTGGTAACCGGTTCGGAGTTATTTGTCTTTGTTTGCTCAAAACCTACCTGCTGGGTAGTCTATATGCAATTCCCTTCCTAGGTGTCTATCAGGGGTTTGGCAAGAGAAATCATTTGAAAACAACTTTCCACCAGCTCGAGACAGATCCAGCCCCGGCCCCGGCCCCACCCACAGTGGCCAATGTTCACGGTGGTCGGGATGAGGGTGCAGAGTGGTTAGGATACAGGTGCACAGTGAGGCTTCTGGGTTTGACCCGGCTCTACCACGTACTAGGTGTGTGACCTTAGGAAGTCACTTTACCTCTCTGCACTTCGGATTCTTCATCTGTAAAGGGTGCAGAAAGAAAGAGAATCCCCTCCAGTTTTTCTGAGGACTCAGTGAGTTCACCCATGCATGGTTCTTGGCACCTTACATGGCGACAGAGCCTGGGTGCCTAATGCTATCTGGTCTGTGTCACCATTAAAGGATCTGACGTTTTGGACTCTCTTAAGAACCTGTGAACCAGGGGCGCCTGGGTGGCTCAGTCAGTTAAGCATCTGCCTCCAGCTCAGGTCATGATCTCAGGGTCCTGAGATCGAGCCCCAAGTTGGGCTCCCTGCTGAACAGGGAGTCCGCTTCTCCCTCTGCCACCGCGCCCCCCCCCCCCGCCCCCAGCTTGTGCTCTCTCTCTCAAATAAATAAATAAAATCTTAAAAAAAAAAAAAAAGAACCTATGAACTAGGCAGAATGGGGATTATTCCCATTTTACAGATGAAGACACCTGAGGCCAAGGACCTTTCTTCACAGGTCAGACAACACCTAGGTAGCAGAACCAGAGTCTAGGGAGATGGTCCAAAATCCTGAGCTTCCAATTTAGGTTCACAGTACGCCATCTACTGACCAAGGAAGGAAGTGGCCCGAGACATGAGAAACTGCACAGCGGCCAGGGTCTGTCAGGGACTTTCAAGCTCAATCCTCACGCCTTGCCAATAAATCAAATAATCGAATGGTACCATCCTGCCCTTACCCTTAATGTGGCTGAGATGGTCCGGATAACTGAGACGCAGGGATTCCACATTCCACATTATTCAATTTGGAAAACTGAGGTCTGACTGGATGATGCCGGACAAGAAGAGATCGACTCTATGTCCTGTGCCTGACGCAGGGAGGGCGGAGGAGGACCACCCCAGACAGCCGGTGATGTGACACTGTTATCTGGCTGTTTGAGGGCAAGAGGGCTGGTCAGAGAGGGAAGTCTCTTGGGTCCTACTTACCATGGTGGTCGATATGGTCTCCGTGGTGATGGAGGGAGCAGTTGTTACGGACTCCTTTCCCCCTGGGGCAGTCCCATCAACCTGCTGGCCAGAGGAGTCATGAGAGAGAGAGAGAGAGAGAGAGAGTGCACACACCGCATGTGCCTGCAGCATCCGCTCCTGGGCAGGTGGCATTCCCAGTTACAGAGGGACAGGCTGTGTGAGTGCACATGCGCTGGTGGGCGGGGGTGGGGGGGCTCGTCCACACACTGAGTTACAGGGGGTCCTCACAGGTCCCCCAGTTCGTTTGAATCATCTTATTTGACAAAAGACAAAAAAAATCCCAGATAATTTCACAAGCCCTATGCAAATCTCAATGTATGTATTCCTCAACCTAGCAATTCCACGGCTGGGAGTTCATCCTTTGGATATCAACTCTGAAAACTTTGCCAAGAAGTACGAACAAAGAAGTTCACGGAAGCATTAATTGTTAACTGCCAAGACAAAAACAGCCACAGGTCCATTGATGGGAGACTGCAGGATAAGTCAGGACCCGCTCCTAAGTGGGACTAAGAGTAAGGTGGGCCCACATATGGCAACGAGGAATGATCTCCAAGACAGTCATTAAGAAAAAAGGGTCAGGTGTAAAAGAGGATCTCTTCTGTGTAGAATTCTGCAATCTAGAGATGTAAGTGTATATATTAGATACGCATAGATTTTTTTTTTCTGGGAAGAATCACAAGAAAAATTTCCATCTGTTTTGTTCGAATTTCGTAACTGTGAACACTTTGTCACTGTTTTGTTTTGTCGTCAATAAGGATTACTGGGCTGTTGACTTTGGGGCCTTTTTTAGTTTTCTCTGTATTTCTCTATACGAAAACAAAATAAAACACCGGTCACTAAAACAAAATAGGCCACAGAGGAGGCATGTGGCTTGAGATCACACGGCTCGTTAGAACTCGAGCGCCTCTGGCCGCTGCGCCAGCTGATACAGAGACCACTGTGCATGTTACAATCAGGGAAGAAAAACATTCTGGAAACGACACAGTTGTCCACATTGTGTTGGTTTACGCCTTACTTTAGTTCTTGAAATGCAAACTAGTCTCCACCCCTGGCACTGTAGCTCCTCTGGCCAGGAGGAACCCAGAGGGCATCTATCAGACCTACAATCTCAAGGTTCAAAGTGTAAAAACCAAAAAACCACAAGAGGAACCTCGGCAATGCTCTGTGCACCCGTATGCCCATAGCGCACCTGTGTCTCTTTCGGACTGCTCCATGCAGGGTACCAAGTATATTTCATCTTGCTAAGATAAATGATTTTTTGTTCATTTTGCCAGTGATATGGAACCCCCATGTGTAAAAAAATGATCCAGTGTGAGTCGTTCTGACAAAAGCTGGATTGGGATCTCTCCCTCTCTCTCCCAAAGCAGCTCCTGTGATACCTCAAGAAACCTCTCCAACTCCTTCGAGCGATCTGAAGGCCACAGTCTAGTCCACTCACTGCTAGTCCTTACAGCACTCCCAGAAGGACAGGGAGACATGATCGTTCCCATTTTAAAGATGGGAAATTGAGGCTGTGAGAGGTGTGGTCTACTCAGGACAGGAACTCATTCCACCGCCCACCCCCAGAGCTCAGGGAGGACAATGAAGCTCAGAAGAGCATCCAGGTTAACATGGAGGCTCTGGGGAAGCCGGAGTGGCAAGAGTTGGCCAGGGGGCTTGGCCTTGGTGGGGACCCCACCCTTAAATGTCCAGTACCTATGCTCAGGGTGCAATGGAAGGCCCAGGTTACCTGGCTGGTGTCCATAGTGCTGACTCTGGTCTGCAGGACAGCCTCAGGCTCAATCTTCTTTCTAATGGCCAGGCTGCTGACCGTCATGGTTTCCGTTTTCACAGGCTGTAGGGAGATGAGGGAGGACACTCCATAACCCAAGCCTCTGCATGACTCCTGCTCACAGGCCACTGTAACGTATCTCCCATCCCTGCAGCTGGCCGGGTCTCTGGAAGGGCACACGGTCCGGGCAAAGAGGCCCGGTGAGCCGTCCCAGACAGCCCAAGGGGATAGCCAGAGCCACCAGCAGCACCCAGACAGGCTGCTCATGACCCCGCCACCACATAACCTCCCGGTGGCTGTGAGCTGGTTTTTGGGCTCGTGCCAGGACCCCCACTAAGTACTGTCCTTATGTACCTGTCACTGAATCCTGACTGACTTCAGTGATTATGCTGCCGCCTCCCAGCTGCTTCATTTGAACTGTTCTTGAGAATAGGAGTCACACACCTGGGGGCCGATGGGGGGTGGGGGCAGGCAGGAGATGTAAAGGGGTGCAGCGGGCTGAGGACTGGGGTGAACAGGAGAACACAAGGGTTCCACTCAGGTTTGGCCAACGGTGGCCATGGCCTCTGAATGACTTGGATCATCTGATTTTTTTAACAATAAAGAAAAAAAAAACACCTATGGATTTTATATTCCACATCCCAATTTTTCAATCAAGGTCAAAGAAAACACATCTGCTAGCCAGATCTGGCCTGGGGCCACCGGTTTTCAACCTCTAGCCTAGAAGTCTCCGGTTAAATGATCAGTTTCTTCAGACTCCTCCAGCAAGGTCAGTTCATGTGGCTATTAGCATATGTGAGCAGAATGAATGACGGAAATAGCTTGCCATCTGGTTGGGAGGGTAGTGAGAGGGATTCTTATAGATTACTGTAACTGTGAGATCTAGCCATTCATCCAGTTAGTCATCTATTAATGCCTGGCATGTGCAGGCTTAGAGGAGCTGCCCCCGGGGGGACAGTGGGCCTGGCAGCCACAGACATGACTACCTAGGATGATGCGGGGGAGCAGAAACATTCCAGAGCAAGGGGGCTGTGGAGGGAGCAACACTTCTACGCAAGGTGGTCAGGAAAGCATTTGCTAGGGAAATGATATCTGAACTTGGTCCTGGAACATGACAAGTTTGCAAAGCAGAGAAAGGGAAGCAAAACTTTCCACCCAGAGGGTACAGCATGGAGTGGATGCCCAGAGCAGATGAGCTCACATTTCAAAGCCTGGAACATGGGAGAGAGGAGAGTGTGCTGGGAGGTAGGCAGGGGCTGTGAGAGATGAGAGGGCGAAAGAATCACAGGACAAAGACCCTCTGAAGGAAGGGCACAAAGCACAAAGCAGAGGGACCCAGACACAGTCAATCCCGGTGTCCCCCTCAGTGATGATGTCTCCTCCTCTCTAGGAGTTTCCGCTGCTACCCCGAGACCCCGGGGCCAGATGGGTTTAGACTGCTGCCCCTTCCCCCAGGAAGCCCAGGCCCCAGGCACAGGAGCCGGGCCAGGATCAGGAAGAACCATCGACTTTCAGGCCAGGCCGCAGCGAGTCCACAAGCACATGCTCCCTGCAGGCGCCATGCAACACAGGGAGAGGAGGCGAGTAAGACCAGATCGCCTGGCATCACTTGACCTCGGGCAAGCGATGGGGTCACAGGGTTGAAACGCCAAGGAGTGCATGTCAGGGGTGAACCAAGATGGCAAACATGCGAGCACAGAACCATGCTTTCTGCGAGGGGCAGTCATGCAACACGAGACAGAGCTTCAGGCTGAGGGGCTCTGGGCTGCAGGCTGGCGGCTTGGTCTTCTCACAGATGGCCTGGGGACCTCCGAACATGCAGTGCCCGCGGGGCCCAGGTCTCCAGGATGCTCCACTATACCTCAAACTGGGGCATATCTGGGGTGGCGCAGGCCCCTCGATCCGGGCTATCCTCGATGCCCCCAGGCTCGTCTTCCTGGCTGAGGCCCCCCTTGTTGAGATCCCGGGAGAACACCAGGCCCTCGGTCTCTGAGTCGCTTTTGTCTCGGTCGAGCTCAGGCAGGCTGCGGGAGAAGTCTTCGAAGGCGCCGCCATGGTAGTCACCAATGACCGTGAAGTCAACCTCAGCCTCCAGGCTGGACGTGGAGCTGACCGTGATGCTGGAGCACTTGCGCTCAATGGCCAGGTGGTTGTCCTTCAGGAACACCGCATCCCTCTCCTGGTCCTGGTCCTCGTCTCCCGTGTCACTCTCTGGGGCCCTGGGACGAGGCGGTTTGACCTTCTCCTCTGAGCCCTCCCTTAGCCCTGCTCTCTATGGCCAGATAAAAAATCAAAGGAACGGGGTGTGGGGTGGGAAGAGAGAGAGAAAGCAAGATGGTGAATGACAGAAGAAACCTTGGGGCCGTTTCAGTGTCTCAAATAGAAGAGCAGGTCAGGATATGAAAAACACTCCCGGAAAGGTTCCTTGACGTGACAACAAGCTTGAAAAACCCGCAAAGTTCTCAAGAGTGGGGAACGCTCCTTTCCGAGGGTCTCCCGCTGATGGCCAAAGCAAGTACAAAGCAAACATCCCGCCAGTTGGTTCTGGACAGGAAGCCCCATCCAAGGTCTGGAACTGGGAGCTTATCAGAAGCGGCATTGTATGCAAGGCAGGGATGGGAGCCCGGACCCAGGCCCACCCGTGCAGGTGGGCATCGAGAGACAGAAACCAGGGAGGGGAGACCCAGGGATTTAGGGAAACCCGGGACGGGAAGGCAGGGAGGCTGGAGCCAAGAGCTTTGAGAAACAAAGAGGAAGCCAACGTGGTTTGTCAATTCCACTGAGTCTCTGTGGGAGGGGACAGTATCGTCCAGGGGGAGGAACAATATGGGTTAATTCCTGGGAACCAGGGGCTACATCAGTTCAGCCCTGAGCTCCAGGAGGGGCGGGCAGGCAGGCCGCCGAGTAGAGGTCCTAGTCCCATCAGTGTAATTGACAACAGCAGGCCAAGGAACTGCTGGAGGGGAACCAGCACATCTTGTCCCACATACATACCTCTCAACTGGCCTGTCGGGGATTAAACACCACATGCACATTTTTGGCTGTTCCATGACAGTCTTTTTAAAGCCCAATCTAACACCCACCAAATATATTTTTTTAAGTAGTTGGCTTCGGGTTCTAGAGATTCAGTGCACTTAAGAGATTCACTTGCTAAACTTAGCTTCCATTTTAGCCAGTTTCTGGAAGGTTGAGAGGTGTGAGGGCACATTCCAGACAAGCGAGAGTTGAGCCGCCACAGAGCTGCCAGCACAGGTGGGAGTTGAAGGCAGCGATGCACCCTGGCCAGGTAAAGACGACCGGGGCATCCGGGCACCGGGGGGCTGCAGAGACCTGAGGGCCCGAGGGGCTGGCGGATCTCAGGCGCCCCCCTTTTGCAGGGGGGTTTGCTGCTAAGCTGGTGATGGGCTTGTCTTCCCTGACCGCATCTCCGGATTTGTTCTGGATTAGAGAAGATAGTTAGTCTTAAGGAGGCAGAAAGGAACTTGGCAGTGGGACCAAGAGGGAACCAGAAGCGAAGGATGGAAACCTCTGGCCTGTCAGCTTCCCCAAGGCGGGAGAACCAGGGAAGGGAAAAGATGAAGGAAGATCATTGGACAAGCCAAGCAAAACAGGTAGGAGCCCAGCAGGTGGGGGCAGCAAGGCAAAGCAAGTATGTAGTCGGCTGGCGGTGATGCCACCTTCTCCACTGGGGCGGTGCGACCCACTGGGCGCCAGGTCACACCAAAAGCCGAGGGTCTCTGTGGCTAAGCTAACAGGGGCCAAGCAGATGAACCCGTCATTCCGCCTGGGCTATCCCCGGGCCTGTGTAGGGAACTCATAGGAATGGACAAGCAGCCTCTGATCGCAGTGATGACGAGGGGCCCCTGAAACATGCTTCTACAGAGCTACGGAGCATGCGGTCGGCTCCCCCAGCGGGGGAGGGGCAGCGGTGGGGGCGGGGGCTCACGTGGCCAGTGCCCCCGGTGGTTTCCTCCAGCGCAGTTTCGCAGCCCGAATCGGGGGACATGAGCTCGAGGTCCGTGCATTCTTCCCGGGGGGATGTGGTAGCAATGCCCTCCCTGAAGTATCTGGGCGCCGGTGACGTCACTGAGGAATGGGTGGCTTTGGGGCCAGCAAAGTCCCCTGGGGGCTGGAGTTGGACGAAGCCTAGGTCCAGAAGCTTATTCCGCTGTTGTTCTACCTGACCCACGGAGGCCTCTGAAGACAACTCGCTCATGAGGGCCCTTGTTTCACCTTGACTCGCTCGGCGAGTTTCAGCTCCATGGGTCTCAAAGATCCGAATTTTGTTGGCCACTGAGGTCTTGCTAATATCTTCCAGGGAGCCCTCTTGGCCCCCAGCCTGGAAAGAGGTCATCTCCTTTTGCTTCCCTGAAGGGAACACCAACCCCAGGGGTACAGCCCCCTCGGCTCCTTCAGAGACAATTCTGGGCTTTCTGCTGGCAACGGGAGGTGCCCGGCGCTCACCTCCGTCTGGGGTCACAGATGGTCCTACTCGGTCCTTGGGCTCTGGCCTCCCTTTAAAAGGACGGGCATGTTTGAGAAACACAGGGGACTGTTCTCCAAAAGGATCCCCAAGCTGTGGAGGCTCCCCTGACCCACGAGGGGCTGGGCTTGGAGAAGTTTCCTCTGGAGCTGCCTGAGCTTGAAAGGGACCAGGGGAAGCTGGGAGGGGGGTGATCATGTCCATCTGAAGAAACACTGAGGCCTTTCTGTCCTCCATCGCAGGTTCTCCTGTTTGGATGTGCACCAGTCTCCCGTCTTGGTGCAGGAAGTTGCCTCTGTCTGGCTTGGTTGGCTTCCTGACATCATTAGGAGGGGTGGTCCATGGAAGGGCGCAGGCTGGGAGGTCTGGGCGCATGCCCCCTCCTCTGTGAGGTGAGTGGTTCTGCCATCCTGCTGGGGACCTGTTCTCAGCCTTTTCCATCAAATCTCCACCCTTGAGGGCCTCTTCCTCTGTGCCTAGGTTGCATGCTGGGTGGCTAAATTCTCCTTCCACCCCCCGCCCAGCTTCTTCCCAGTCCTCAGCAAATGTCTGCCCTGGAGAAGGTCCCTTATGAAGCTGCTCAACAAAGGCCTCTGGGCCATCTGGTCTTCCGTGGTCCTTGGGGGACCGTGCCCCTTCCTCTAAGGAGGCCGTGTGGCCAACACCTTCTTTGTTCTCGCTCCTGCTGGAAGCTGCAGCAGGGCCCTGTGGGTCTGAGGAAGTGAGCACAGAGCTCTCGGAGAGCCTCTCTGAGCGCTCCAGCCTGGTCTCGTCAACAGGAAGGGCATCCACATGCTCTTCCCTCTCCTCCAGAGGTGGAGGGAGGAAGGGGTCTTCAGAATCTTTCTCTCCATAGTTCAAATAGAAGCTCCTCTCTGCAAAGGAAGGTTTGGTTTCATCACTCGAGTCAGCTCTGGCTTCCGACTGGGCTGGGTCCAGCAGAAATGACTGGAGTCCTCCCTTGTCGGAGGCTGGAGAAGGGACATCGGCCTCTGCTAGCCTGGTCCCCGAGGCAGCAGGTCTTCCCCAAGTCTGGCACTCCTCCAGCTCCCTCCTCAGCTCCATCTGGCCCTCCAGCTGACCACCTGAGATCCAGCGCTTCTTGATGGTGGCCTCCCCAGTGCCCACCCTCAACTGGGAGCCCTCAAGGTTTCCTGCCAGTGTGCAGCCTGCAGCAAGAGAAGCCCCTTCTGGGCCTTTCCTGACCCAGGAGCCCTCCTCCCACATTGACTCAAAGTCTTCAGGGCTTGCAATCATTCTTCCTTGGTGCTGGGTCTTTGCTCTTCTAACTCCCACTATTTCTTCTGTGGCCACTTCGACTTTGAACTTGTCCACCAGGACGTCTACCTTGGAGAGTCTGCCATCAGCAAGGATATCTGCGAGGCCTGCCTTACTTTCTTCCTGCTGAGTGGTGGTCACTTTTAGGAGGCTGAGTTCTTCTGGCCTAGTGTACTCTCTTTCTATAAATACCCAATGCTCTGAACCCTGTGTTTCAATTGGAGCAAGAAGAGTTAACATGAAATATCACGCACCTGAAGAACGGGTCACTTTTTTTCCTCTGCAAGAAGGGACCAATCTACCACCAAAAGGTCAGCATGTCCCCCAGAACTGGCTGGGGGAGAGAAGGCATGACAATGCCAGTCAGCCTCATCAAGGCTCCCCTTCCCATCAAGGCACCCAACAAATTATTTACCGACTCCCCTCAACCACTACCCCAAGTTGGTAAAATAGGACGGGGGTCTCACGCCCTCCCCATGTGAATCATGGAACAATGGACATCCATGGATGGGCCAGGACTCTTCCTCTTTCTCTTTTAATAATACAATTGCCACTGTCAGAGGGGAAAGTAACTTACATCACGTGGAATCTTTGAATGTTAGAGCATAAAGAACTCCTAAGACATCCTCTAGTCCAAGTTCCTCATTGTGCAAATGGGTAAACTGAGACTTGGAGAAGGTCAGTGACTTCCCTACGGTCAAGTTAGTTCATGGTATAGTCAGGAAAAGAGTGCCTGAGATCCTTGCTGACTTACCTCACAACCTATAGACTATGGATCCCAACTGCAATCTAAGTCAAGAGGGGAAGCATTGAATTAAGTTCCATGAGCCACAGCCTGAAATCTGACTTCTCTGCAAGAGTTTCTGGGAAGGAAAGAGATTAGAATGAAAAATGCCAAATGCTCAGCTGAAGAGATCAGTGCCAGTCACCACAGTGGCCTGAACAGCTTGAATTTTGTAGGGTTCATTCCCAAAGAAAAGAATACCAAGGCCTATTCTTGGAGAATTCTGACAAAATCCACAGAAAGAGTAGAAAAGGGCTGACCAGAAGACATCATGGAAGGAAAAAATCTAAAGACCCAAGTATCATCACTGGTCAAAAGCACCAATAAGAGCGTAGCACTGTCAAGCTGTCGACAAAACAGCCCTCCATCTCTTCTACAGTCCTTTAAGCAACACTTAGGAGTGAATGATGGACTTCAGAATTGTAAAAAAAAAAAAAAAAAAGCCAGAAGGCCATTGGCATTCATACTGCTGCCACAGAATACTTTCTTCACATAAAACCTCAATGGAAGTCCAGTATGTAAGCCAGAGACAGGCTGCCGTGTTGAAGTTGGAGGCCTCAGCTGCCCCAGTGCCAAGGTACCGCCCTCCTTTGAAATCCCTGCTCTGACTCCAGCCCCTTACGGCACAGATGTGGAAACTGAGGCCTCGAAAACGTAAGCACCATGTCCAAGGTCAGAGAGGGAGCTGGGGGCAAAGGCAGGTCTAGAATCCAATCTCTGAATCCAAGTTCTGGGAAGTGCCTCCATGAGAGATGTGTCAGAAACTGCTCCCCACAGGAGGGGAGAGATGCGCTCTGATTCCGGTTATGACTTGGGAAGATGTCTGTCAGATCCTATAAGATGTGAAGGATTCTGAAGGTTCAGGGAGGCTGTAAACTCTCTTACCTCCACTGCCTCAATCCATGTTAGCAAAATCTTCATGGTTTTCAGGGGATCAAACCTCACTGAAAGAATCCTGCCAACAGGTAAGAGAGGTAAGAGGAAGGTGGAAGGCCCAGGCGTAGGTCTCTGGGATTTTACTTCAGGTTGCTAAGCCTCAGAACACCACCACTGAACCATCCCAGCGAGAAGTGCTTCGAGAGCCTATAGAAGCCAGGTCTCTTTTCTATTCTCTTCTAAGGCTCCCGTTTCAGCTTGTGCTGATATCATGAGTCTGGCAATGAGGGCCAAAGATGGTCAATGAGACCCCTTCTGGAACATTCTTGCCCCAAGTCTAACTAGAAACTAGTTTCTAGAAACTAGAAGCTTAGAAATTAGGCTGAGTGGGGTGGGAACTAGCACAGTATAGAAAGATTCCACGGGAAGAAAAAAGGAAACATGTACTTATATTTAGTTAATTTGTGTCAGACAATGCCAGCCCTTTGTCTAAAGTTATTAGGTTTAATCCAAATGGCAACCTGTGAAGCAGGTACTATTGCCCTTATTTCCAAAGGGGAAACTGAGGTTTGCAGAGCAATGGTGACTTGCACAGATCACAGAGTGTGCGGTGAGGGAAGAAGAGGCTCTGCTTTTAACAAGTGAACATCCTGATGAGAAAAAAAAGACTGAACAAAAGAGAGAAAACTTCATTAGCACCAAGGCACTGGTGGGGCTGCACCTGGCCCTGGGGGCTGGTCTGAAAGTCGTCCTGACCCTATTACAGGATGGGAAACCTTCAGTGCCTGCTCAGAGCACCCCCTGCTAGCAGCTGGAGGTACTGCAGCAAGGAGCGGAGGCTGGCAGAGGACGCCCACCAGCTCTGTTCCCACGCAACCCACCAAAAGGAGAAAATCTCCAGCCAGGTGGTTCTGCTGACTCTGGGCTGTTCGGTCCCCACCTGGGGCTCTGGGTCACACTTTGGGTCCTGCTCTTTACAGAAGACAACCAGAGGAGGGGATGCAGGACAAGGAGCCCTCTAGAAACCACACCCTGGGAGAAACCTCTGAAGAAAGGAGGAGTGTTCAGGGGGAGGGGAGGTGCTGAACTCTGGAGGAGGATGCCCAGCAGAACTCCGGGCAGCAGCGGGCACAGCGAGGCCCACAGACAGGTAATCCAGAAGGGCAGATTTTAATTCAATCTGAAACCTTCCCAACAGGTGACGGAAGCCAAAATGGTCTGCTGTGAAGAATGGCAAGAGCACCCTCTGTGGAAGGGGCTGGATGGACAATTTGCAGGGATGCTGATGAAGGGCGCCTGTCGCCCTCCATTCCTGCCCCCCGGAGTATGGGCACCTGTCCTTTGCTCTAGGAGCATCTCTGTGCTCCAGGTCATCACTATTTCCCTAACCTTGGGAAGCTACTGACTCCTGTGCTGGTAGTTGTTTTTAGTTTTACACTGAAGAAAAATTCAGAGTAGAACTGTGACTTCTGTTTTACCAGTTATGTAGCTGACTCATGTCTTGTACAGTTTCAGCACATTTTCAGCAGCTAGAAAATTTTTCCATGGGAACTGAAAAAGGGAGATGCCCTCATACATACTATGCATAAAGGGGAGGGTCAGATCTCGGGGAGAAGGACGTTCCACCCAGATGGTAGGTCAGTACCTTCTAATCCTGACAGCCTCTGAGCTGTTGGCACAGAGGGAGATGCAGCCCTCCATCCTTGGGCCCGGATTCTAGGTCTAGCAGGACACAGCAAGCAAGAGCCCTCCACTGGCTGCAGTCCTGGGAGCAGAAGTAATGCCTTCCTCATTAGAACACTTGCCTGGCCAACATCTCTTTAACCCCAAGGAAGCTCCCTGGAGCAAGATGCCCGCTTTCGCCTGCCTGTCAAGAGGAGCTTAGAGAAGATGAAGATGTGGGGCCATCCCCTACATAGCCACTGTTAGACCTCACTCAGGCTTCTTAACAGCAAAAAGACCCCAGGGCAGAAGGCATTTAGGTGCCATGACCCCTGATCTCAAGTTTAGACGTCAGAACCTGCCTCTGAAGTCAGGGCCCAAGAGGAGATTGTTTCAGCTTCCCCTTTGAAGCCAGAGCCAGAGTCAAACTGTCCTGTCTTTCCAGAATATGATCTCAGTCCTGATTCCTGAGAAACAATGGATGAGGGAGGGGCCGGCCCTTTATGGATCCCTGGGATGGGGACAATCATTTGTCACAGCATGGGGACACAAGGGCTACCCACTGCTCCCACCTGCATGGCAGAGCCTGGTCCACCCCCCTCACCCCAGAGAAAGGGGTTTCTTGAGACCATTAGGGTGGCTGTGTGTGGGTGGGGAAGTGCCGACAGTAACCTCAGGAGACGCTGCGAGGCTTTTCTGAGTGAACACTTCCCAGCCTGTGGCCGTCCCAGGCTCTGGTGCCAAGTCCTGCGGAGAGGTGTCCTGGGTCCTCCGGGACTGCAGGGGAGGCCCAGGGCCAGAGGAAAGGGAAGAGGGAGGAAGGGAAGGAGAGACAGAGACAGGAAGAAAGGGAGAGAGAGGAAGCAGGAGAGACACACACACAGAGCCTGTAAATAGCCCAGCTTTGTAAAACCCACACCCTTAGAGTTTGTGGCTTAGGTCAGGCCAGTGGGGCGAGAGAGAGAAGAGCTGCCCCTTGTGGCCCTTTAAGGGAGGGAGGCCCACGGTCAGCTGCCAGCCAGCACTACGCCTTCGGACCCTTTGCTCCCTGCCCTCACTCAAGAGGGATGCGGAAACATACCACTCTCCTTCAAGAGGCTCCCAATCAAGAGGCCGAGGAGCCATACCATCCAGACTCCGATTCCAAGTCTGCCCTGGGTGTCTTTGGTTTAGGCAATGGTTCAATCCTGCAGTTTGGCTCTTAGCCCTTCAAAAAGTCCTCTTTGAAATGAAAGCCTGGGTTTGGCAAATGGGAACTTTTCTTTAAAGTTTGGAGTCCCAGGCGCCTGGGTGGATCAGTCGGTTAGGTGTCTGCCTTAGGCTCAGGTCATGATCCCAGGGTCCTGAGATCGAGCCCCACATCGGGCTCCTGGCTCAGCAGGGAGCCCGCTTCTCCCTCTCCCTCTGCCTCTCCCCCTGCTCATGCTCTCTCTCTCTCTGTATCTCAAGTAAATAAATAAAGTATTTAAAAAAATAAAGTTTGGAGTCCCTATTTTAAGTTCCCACTGTTTTCCCCTTGGCCCAGATGAGGCCCAACAATATATGAGGAAGCCACTAGGACCTCTGATGACACAGCCCTGCAGGACAGCCCCCAAAAAGTCCAATCAGGGATTCCAGTCACGATAGGCAATGGCCCCATGACTGTACAGCACTTTCTAGTTTATATAAAGTGCTTTTATACCCATTATTTCACTCAGCCTTCTCAGCAACCCCATGGAATGGCAATTCTAGTCCCCCTTTAGATGGGCTGACTAGGCAGCAAGGCTCAGAGAGGTGATATCACTCACCCAAGAACCCAGTCCAGGCCTTGTCTACAGCTTCTCCCCATCTCCCAAATCTTCAAGGGCCTCTAAATGCCAGTGGGGCCTGGAACCCAGTTAAATGGTCCATAGCTCCAAGGTGAGCTCCTGGACCAGAATTCTTTCCAGCAGTGGACTACACTTCTTGGGGCATCAGTGAGGGGCAAGGGTTGGAACAGAGACCCACCTCTGAATAAGACCCATCTTCTAGCAGTTCCAGCTATGACCAGAAGGTGGGGCACATTTCCAAGCCACGCTGCTCTGAGCCACCCGGAAGGTCCGCAGCCAGCTCCCCGGGGTTCATCCTGCCCTCCTCTGCTGGAGTCCCACCCTTTCAAAGCCTCTGCATTCCTCCTCAGCCACTGCCAGGCCACTCTGGTCAAGACTCTCAGGGCCAGAAGAGTGGGGCCTGAACCTGGATCACTAGACCAGCCCCCACGGCCCAGCCCAGGGTACCAGGGGTGACCACAGAGGCTCTCAGTAGCTGCAGATTTGCCCTCCTTCCATAGCACTGGACTTAAAGGCCCTCAAAGCATCCCGCATTTCGTGAATCACCAGCCAGGAAACTACCACAGCATCCTCATTGGACGAGGCCCTGTTATCCGGCATGTCAAGGCCATGGGGAGAACTGATTCAATCAAATGTTCACTTAGTAGGTTACGACTGCATCACCAAATTTCAAAGCATGGGAGGACAGTACATACACAGTTGACTCTATCCTGGTCTTCCCATGATTTGGTCTTGCTCCCAGCTGCTGTGATTTAACAGCAAATACAATGGCCAGGAAATAAGAAAAGCAGGTTCTGGCCCCTCTTTTATCAGCTATGACACTGAACAAGTATGTTCCCATTCTGGGCCTCAGTGCCTCATCTGTAAAGTGATGAGCTTAAGTCAAGTAGGTTCTGAGGGTCCTTCCAACTTTAAAAGGGGTTCTGGGGGGGCACCTGGGTGACTCAGTTGGTTGAGCATCTGACTCATGATTTTGGCTCAGGTCATGATCTCAGGATCGTGGGATCGAGTCCCACATCAAGCTCCCTGCTCAGCGTCGAGTCTGCTTGTCCCTCTCCCTTTGATCCTCCCCTCGCTCATGCTCTCTCTCTCTCCTTCTCTCTCAAATAAATAAAATCTTTAAAAAAGAAAAAAATGGTTCTGATTTGAAAATAACCTTCTGTATGAATCCCAGGACTCTCAAAATGAAACAATAATTAACTCCTATTGAGCATCTAGGTACTCTATCAGGCCCTCTATGCTTGATCTCCCTGGATCCTCACAACTTTCCTATGAGGTAGGTACTTTTATTATCTCTGCCTAATGGAAGCTCAGAGAGATTAAGTAATAAGCCCAGAGTCATCCAGCCAGCAGGAATCAGAGCCAGAATTCAAACCCAGGTGGTATAAGTCTAGATCAGTTGGGTTTGAGACAAGTAAGCAGCAGTGCTAGAGAGAAAACACCTAAGTATAAATGGGGGTAAATACTGCCAAGATTTAGCAGTGCTAAAAATAATAGCTTGGGATTATAAGTACAGGAATTCTCAAAATCCTATCTTTATCTCTTTTTCATTTGAGAAAATATCCCATGCTTTCCACTCCGAAAGGCATGTGGGTGTGGGATTCTTTTCTGAAGCAAGACGCTTGGGTCTAATTTTCTTGGAGGATCTGTTCCCCTCTAGTGGGCTCCGAGGATCCTTCCAGGAGGGAACACCCCCTCACACACACGCACGCCACCCATCTGTGTTTTCACAGTCGGCACTAAAGGATCTGGTTACTGGATGCAACTGCTGGGATTCTCAAAGTTTAGGGGGCATGAGAATCCCCGGGGCACTTGTTTAAAATGCTGATTCCAAGGCTCATCTCCAAATATTCTGATTCTGTTGCTCTGACATGGGGCTTGTCTAATAAACACCCCTTTCCCATTATACTCCGGGGAATACACCAAGCCACGGCAAGTCTTTTGAGTGTTTCAAGGTGGTCCCTGGGGCCAGAAGGATTCCAAGATGTAGTGAATTTGTCTTTCCCAGCCTAACGCACCACCACCCCCCACCCCATCCCCATCATCACCTCATGCAGCAACTGGGGGAGGCATACAGGTGTGGAGGATGAGTATAAGTTGGTGCAGAGCAACTTTCCCGACCCTCTTTACCCAAAGCCCCTGTTGAGGGGTTCAGGGTGAGACCTACCTCGTTGACTTTCTCAGGGGTGCCCTTGGGGGAGGGGGAGGCGGGAGAGGAGGGCAGCCTGCGCTCCCGCTCCCAGTCTCGGTCCCGGTGGATCAGTTTGCTGTTGGGTTCCTTCAGGGTCCTCTTGAGCTCGTTGATGCTGGCCTGGTGCTTGAGCAAGACATCCTCTGGCTTGTCTAAGAACTAGGGGTGGATGGAGAGGGCAGCGGGTGTTAGAAGAACGGCTCTGAGCAGGGGATGGTAACCGTGGCCACTGCTGCCCTACATCAGCAAGGTGATTCCCATCCATGACTCCATCTCACCCTCACAGCACCCCATGAACCAAGGGCGCAGAGATGATTAGCCCCAACAGGTACACGAAGCACTTAAGATTAAACAGAGGAGCAAAAAGCACTTAAGATTAAGAAGAGGAGGCTTCTGGTCAAGCACCACCTTTTCTTTCCCCCTGCCTGGCTTCCGGCCTCAGAACACCCAAGGCAACCCAGATCCCCGAAGACTAGGTGAGTTCCCACTGGTGCTGTGCGCCCAGTCTCACCTGGGCATGGAGGTGACTTCCTTCTGGTTACAACCGAGGCACAGTGAGAACTGGCCAACCCTGTTCACTGGGCTGCTCTGGCCCACTCCCTGGCCTCCAGGGCCCTGGTCCCTTCCTCTGGCCAAGATTTGGACCGCTGGATCCCGAGCCTAGACCCCTCTCAGCCTGACAGGTGAGCTGCTCAGATACTAAAGCCAGGGACACCCAGAAAAATGAGCCCTGCTCCCACACAGGAGCCACGAAAAGACAGTGTTCTGCATCCTCTACTGTGAGCCACTACCCTTCCTAATCACCCAGGGTCTTGCAGTTACCTTGCAGATACCAACTCCTCAAGAGCAAACAGAGTGAGATATGGCCAGACAGAGAAAAGACGGTGTTGCGGGGCATTCAGGAGAGCAGGAGAAACGGAGACTGGGAAGAAGAGAGCTAAGTCCCAGGGCTGGGCACAAGACCTGAGCTGGGGAGAGCTGCAGTCAGGGGTGTGTCTGCCATTAAACCACCAAGTCTGAGCTTGAGCCAGTGCAGCATGAGAGAGTAATCTGCCTCTAGGTCTTACGGGTAGGGTACGGCGGGTGGGCTGTTAGTTCAAGCACCTTTATCTGCAAGGCTGTTTGAGGATTCTTGTCAACTCAGTTCAGGACAAGAAGTGGACCATCTCCACTTATTATAAAGTCAAATCAGCAGACTCTGGAAGATCTACCTGGAAGGCAAGCTTGCTCTTGGACAAGGCTGAGATCTTCCCCTGGGCTTACCTGTTACCGCCATGACTGACATGTGCGTTACCTCGGGGAGGAGACTGATGCCACTGAGGCTTCTGCTTTCCCTCCAGACATCTGTCTGTACTTCCTATATCCCCTCCTGAGCTGAACGGCCTTAGAACAATGTCTGAGAAGTCAAACTGATAGAGTTTGCACAAGGGGGTGGGTATGAGCTGCAATGGACCCAAGATGTGGCTTGTGACCTTCTAGCCTGATCCTGCCACGCTGCCCGTGTGTGCACACGGCGTTCCCGGAGGCGAGAGGGAGCAGTGGAACCCTGGGATCCTTGATTAGGGTTAAGGGCTTTGGGGAAACCTAGTACAAATGTCTTGCTGTGCAGTTGGGGGACTGGGGCCCAAGGGGGCTTACCCATGACCCTCAAAGAGTCAGGCTGAAACCCAGCTCACGTGATGGGCCAAGGCCAAACCCTTAGGCCCCAGCCCCTGGTCCTTTCCCTCAGGCCCAACAACAGACCCGCGAGGCAGTGAAGGTTCAGAGGAAGAGTTGGGGACTGTGTGAAAGGGAAGAAATCGTTAAGGCAGAGAAATTAAGTTGAGAGAAGCCAGCAGGGAGAGGAGGAAGGAGAGGGAGGAGAAAAGGAGAAGAGGCTCTCCTTGCAGAGCTTGAGCAGCAGGCCCTGAGGGACAGCAGCGTGCTGGAAGAGGCAGAAGCATTCCGAGGTTCCTCCCTGCCCCCCACGCCCACTCCCACATCGGTTGCCCGTAGATACAAAAAGAAGCTTGGGGTGAGGGCAGAGAGGACACAGATGAGGTGGAGGCATGACCAAACGGTGGTGCGGGGAGGAGATGAGTCTAAGGAAGGGTTTAGGTGGGGGCAGGGGAGATAAGACCAATAAAAGCATGGAATGGCCTGGAAGAGCTGATGGACACAGGTGGGATGGTCAGCAGTTGGGAAGCAAGCATGGGGTGGTGGGAAGAGGCAGAATGGGAAGCTGGTTAGAGGGAGGGAGGGGGGAGGAGGGCAGGGGGAACGAGTTGGCTAGGGGGTGGGGTCTGAGCAGGGAGCTGGATAGATGGGGGTGGGGGGAGTGAGGGGGGGGCGAGGAGGGGCCATAGGGGAGGAGGAGTAGGGCCGAGAGCAGAGGCAAGGCTGAAGCTGAGACGGTGCCAGGACATGGGCCTGGGGTGGACTATGGGATGGTGACAAATGAGCTGGGGATCTGAATGGCTGGGTAAGTGGTGATGGGTCCCATGCAGTACCTCCTGCTTGTGTCTCGGCGTGGTTTCCTGCTCCAGCTAGCGAGATGCGGGAGGAGGGAAGGAACCAGCAGGGTCAGTAGAGCAAACAGATTAGAGGCACCGCACTGGCCCAGTACGGTGCAGCAGGTAGCCCAGAGGGCTCTCTCCCAGGGAACAGAGGCCAGGGAAGCTGGTGGACCACCCGTGGGGCAGTGAGGTAGCCAGAAGGGGCAGGGTGGGAGGCAGGGAGCTGGCCCGGGGAGGTGAAGAAGGGGGCCGGGGGACTGGCGGCACAGCAGGCAGTCACACTCAGTAGAAGGGACTTGAGGGCTCTGGGTATTCACGCCTCTGCGGTCAGCATGTGTGTTCAGGGGCCTGTGCGCCCAGCTGCAACCGCCTGACGGAGCCATGCTACACCCGTGTGCACCCACGGCCGTGAGCGTGCATGCCGCCTGCACATCTGGATGCAGGCCCCTACTCTAAGAGGGGCCTACAGCTGTGAGTGAATGCATGCTAGTCTGAGGCCACGTGTGCCCTCATGATGTGTGCACAGGTATGTGGGCAATGCGTGGGACAGCAGGAGGGGACACACCTGAACCTCATCCTTGTGAGGACCCACAGGGACACCCTGTCATGCTCTGGGGAGGAAGGGGGCCATGCGGATGAAGATCACAGTCAAAGGGGCAAATTAAGAGTGGGCAAGAGGAGGCTGGAGTCCTCTAGGGGACAGAGTGCCCCTGTGGGGAAGCAGGACAAAAAGAGGGGATGGGTGCAGGGTGGGCAGCATGCCTACCACCCACCACCAGGGGATACTGAGGTATTGGGCAAGGTCCTTCCCATGGTGCATCCCATAACGAGGGTGCTCTGCCACAGCTGGGAACACCTCAAGGCCAAGGCCGAGGCTAGATTCAGAATCAGCCTCCTGATCCCAGGTCAGAGGGTATGAGAAAGCCAGGCTCCTACCTTTAGCTCCTTGATCTTGGTGGGGGTCCTGACCTCTCCTTCCTCAGCCTCTGACCGCCTACCCCCAGACTCGCCATCCTCCTCCTGCTTGTCACCGTCAGGTCCCGTGTCATGGTTCTCGCTAACCGAGGCCGGGCGGGAGAACTCCGCTAAAATGGGCAGAGATGGCCGGGTGGCCGTGTGAGACCTCCCCCAGGGGGACGGACAGGGAGCCAGTTCTGCCACCCACCCAACCATGGTTGGAGTGGAGCAGCCCCAACACGTCGGGGATAAGGAGCCAGCACACAGAGAGGGGAGGCAGACTTGTCCAGGTCACAAAGAGCCGCCTCCCAGCCCCGGCCCCCACTCCTGACTTCTACAGCACCAGTGCCCAGGTTCAAATCTCAAATCCATCGCTTCTTGGCTGTGTGACCTTGGGTAAGTTACACAATCTCTCTGGGTCTCAGTTTCCTCATCTATAAACAATACCTACTTCAGACAGCTGGGGGAGGAATGAATAAGCTCATGCGTGTAAATACTTAGAAGAGAGACCGGCACAGAGCAAGCCAATTCAATCAATGCTGATCCACAAGTGTGATGTTTTTGTTGTGGTGGTTGTGACAGAATACTTGCTTGACCATTATGTAGCAGTACAGAGTTATTGTGAGATTAGCCTTTACCAGTGAAAGCTAAAGTTCTGAGATCTGCAAATAATTTAGCCCCTTTATAAATCAGGGAAAGTTCAAGGGGACTCCGGACATCCTTCTCACTCACTGGCATTCCAAAGTACTTTTCTGAATAGGAGAGAAAGGGATGCAATGACAGGCTTTACCCTAGGCACTGGGCACAACCCAGCCTACGCCCATGGATTATGTCTTGGTGGGAAAAAATGGCTGGAAAACACAGAAAATGACCAGAGCACAGATTATCCTTAGGATTGGCCTAGATTAAAAGAGAATAATTAGCCTTTCTATTCATATATATTCACTCCGCAAAGTGCCCTTTTATGCACATTATTTCATTTGATCCACGCAATCCTCTGTGCTGATGGCTAGAATGGGAATCCTTATCCTCATTTTACAAAGGATAAATTGAGACTCCAAGAGGGGGAAGGTCCCACTGACGACCTTTCGGTGAATCAGGACAAAGACCCAGGTCTCCTGGTTTAGAGTCCAGGCTTCTGTTTCTCCCTGGATGAGCCTCGTCAGCTCTAGACCAATCTTTGCTACCCTGCACAACCTGGGCTTCGTTTAGGCCCTGGCATAGTAATGGAAGCTGCAGGGGAGAATAGAGAGACTGTACTTTCCCTTCGCATAAATCTTAGTTCTCAGCCCTGTGCCCACTCAAGGAGAATAAAGAGCTTCCTCAGCCTCAAATGGACCTTTGCAAAACTGCGGTCTTCTCAACATAGTCAAGGAATCCTGGGACAGGTCTCACCTTCATACTGCAGGAAAAGTATCAGACTCTCCTGATCACCTGGAAAACTCCTACGTATCCTTCAAAACCCTGTCCAGTTGTCACCTTCTCTGCAAAGCCCTTTCTGCCCCTCCTAGACAGAATTAATCTCTCTCTCCTCATGGCTGCTCTGTATTCAGTACCCACTTCTCCCATGGCTTGAATCACCTTAAATGCTTACAAACCTACCATTCTATGAGCTCCTTAAAGGAAAGGGCCATACTTATTCTATACTTATTCTCAGAAAATATTTGTTGGGCAGAATTAACTTGCCTAGAGGCCTACCCCCATGTGTTCTGGGAGTATCCACTGTTCCCCCCCCACAAGTCCCCACCTCTTTCCTTAAGCTACCCCCTACAAACCTAAAAGCAATAATAAACTATTATTGGGTATAATTTATTAAGGTCCTTCTATGTGCCAGGAACTGTTCTGGGTGTTATCATGTCTGGTTCTCTCTGTAACACAGCAAAATTGGCATTATTTATTTTGCAGAAGAACAAACAGGTAGAGGGAAAGTTCAGCTGCTCAAGACCCCCCATCCATTCATGTATGGATATTTATGGACCACTTCCTGGTCTGCAGAGAAGCTGAGGAGTATGATGGCTGGGATTTGAACTCAGATCCGCCTAACTGAATCTCCCTAATGCCCATGTGGCTTCTGAACCTCTCCTACTAACTCCAATGTGCACAGTCCGGGGAGAGTCCGGGGCCCTGAGTGCTGATGCAGGCCTGGGCATCTTTGTGTTTAACCAGCGCACAGGTGATTCTGCGGACCATGTTTTGAGAAGCCCTGGTTGGCTGGATGCGGGACAGTGTAGGGCCAATTCTCGTTGATATGAAGGGCACCTGTCAACCCAGCAGGAATGAGGGCCGTGGAGAGCAGCCTGTGGTTGCATGTCAATCAGTTCACCGGAACCAAAAGGATGACCAGGGACAACCAAACGCCTCAGCCTCAGTCAGGAAAGGTATCCCCAGCTCCACACTGCAGTCGCCATTATGCCATTGTCCTGAAATCTGTGAATCACTGAGCATCGTGGGCAGGGGCGGGGGGGGCACCCAGAAACCCATATGGCTGAACGCGGGACCCCAAGAGCCCACGACTCAGGGAAGTTGCAGGGAGTGCAGACAGCGGCGATGTCACATTCCAGTGGGAGTGATGCCGTAGGCTGGGCGAGACCACTGAGAGCGGCCTGGGGGCAACAGTGCTCCTGGGCCACTGGGCCTGGTGCAAATCAACTGGTGAGGTGCCCACCACTTTCCCAGCGCACATCCTGGGGAAGCTGGTACGCCCCCACTTCCCTCTAAACACCACCCTTCCCTCACACCTCCAATTTGGGGCATACCTCCATCAAGGCTGCGGGACATGGTGTACCGTTTGCTGGAGGAACGCTCGAAGAAGGGCGCGGGCCGGTCAATGAGGGCGCTGGCCTGGCGGGTTTGCGCCTGGGTCCTCCCACTATATCGGAACTTGGAGCCCATCACCAGGAAGCCCTTGGGCGGGGGCTCGGGCGACACCAGCCTGCGGTGGAGGGAAGAGGGGGATTAGACCTACGTTGCCGGGCCCAAGGCTGGACCACAGCTGGCCTTTCAGCCCGCTGTCCCACCAGCTACAACTCGAAGTGACCCACAAAGGGAGAGACTTGGGGAGGGGGGCTTTCCTGGAGCCCCTCCCTCCTAGCTCCTTCTCCTGCTTCGCCTCTCCCGGAGCATACGTGTACATTCACGGCCTCTGCGCATGCCCCATGACCCCACCCCACCCCACCCACGGCCTCTGCGCATGCCCCGTGACCCCACCCCACCCCACCCACGGCCTCTGCGCATGCCCCGTGACCCCACCCCACCCCACCCACGGCCTCTGCGCATGCCCCGTGGCCCCACCCCAGGGGCAGGCTCACCGGAAGAACGTGTGGTGCTCTATGCAGACCTTCCACAGCCTCTTGGCTGACCGGTGGTTTGGGAGCTTAAAGCCAATCGTGCTCTCAAACTGCTCATACTGCAAAACCAAGAAGGGTGGGTTAGAAGCAAGGCCTGGGCTCTCTCGCCCCTGGTCCATCCTTTCTGAACCTCTTCTCAGGCGTGTGGGACTCTGGCCTGTTTATTCATTTATTCAATAAAGTGGACTGAGTCCTTACTCCGTGACAGGTCCAGTGCTAAGCAACAGAGACACCATGGTGACCAAGACGGAAGATTCTCGGGGACGGGGAAGGGGTGCTCTGATAATAAACTAGTAAACAAGATCATTTCAGACACTGATGAGGGGGCATGAAGGGACTGAACAGAGACGTGTGGTGTGACAGAGTACCTGGGCAGGTGCAGGGGTCAGGATCTTAGAAAGGGTGGTCAGGGGATGCCCTCTAACAGGTGATCTCTGGGCAGACATCTGAAGGATGGGAAAGGAACCAGCTATGTGAGAAGGCAGGGAAGAGAATTTCAGGTAGAGGGAACATCAAAAGCAAAAAGCTGGAGGCAGGAAAGAGTCCGGCTCATCCTAGGAATCAGTGAAGGCCAAAGGGCTGAAGCACAGTGTGGGGGGGTGGGCAGAGATACGTGGGAGACGCAGCCGGCCACATGTGGGGTTCGGACAGTAGCCCACGAGCCAGACAGCTCTTGAAAGGGTTAAGGCAGGAGTGGGAATGGGGGATGGTGATCTGATGGAGGGGACTTTTAAGCTCTCCTTAGCAGTTACGAGAAAAATGGCCTAACATGACAATGGAGGCAGGGGGACCAGGGAGAGGCACCTTGTAGAAATGCAGGTGAGAGATGGTGGCGGCTGGTGGCTGGGACAATGGAGAAAGACAGAAGCAGATGGGTTTGCATTTATTCTAGAGGTACAAACCAATGGACTTTTTGATGGGTGAGATGTGGAGGCTGGACATACACGTTTGTGTGTGTGGTCGTGTGTTTTGGCATGTGTACATACTTGAATACTACATGTAAGCAGATAAATTGACATGGATGGACAGGTATTCACTGATCTGTGTAACCTGAATGTATGTGGTTATCTTTATATGTGTGCTCCCGTGTGTGTGTCTGTGTATACTGCACGTGTGTGTGTGTGTGTGTGTGCTGTCTGTGTGCAGGCACATACCTAAGGCATGAAGTCTATGTAGAGAGCCCCAGCCTTACCCAGTACCCTAGCAACGCTCTCCATGTATCCTAAGTAGGAAAGAACCCAGGCTCAGCAGTCAGGATCCTCTCCGTTCTAGCCAATTCCAGTGAGAAGGAGGGGTTCCCAAGGCAGGCTCACCTCCCCAGGCCGGATCTTGATATAAAAGTTACTCCTCTTATAGGAGATCTTGAGAATCTTGGGCCAGGCGAAGCGGTTGATTCTCAGCCGGTCCCGGTAGATGAGCAGGCCATTGGCACAGACTCCTAACATAATGTCGATGCCCTCGGAGTCCTGCATGAGAAGACACCATCGAATGGCAGGCCTGGGGTCCATGCCTGCCACGCACCCTGAAACTCCTCCCTGAGCTCTGCTTCTGATGAGCCCTCAGGATCAGGGTCAGAGCCTGCATGCTGGGGAGGCCCCTGACCAATCTCACACAGTCATTCAGCCATTCACTCATTCATTTTATCAGCCATTCACCCCGTTCCTCATTTGATCATTCTGTCAATCACTCAATCACTGATTCACCGACAAACATTTAGTGGCACCTATGTGGTGCTAGGCCATGTGCTATGTGCTAAGGATATAGAAATAAATTGAAGCCTATGTCTTGATGAATGGATAAAGATGCGGTGTATATATGTACAACGGAATACTACTCAGCCATCAGAAAAAATGAAATCTTGCCATTTGCAACGACATGGATTGAACTAGAGGGTATTATGTTAAGCAAAATAAGTCAATCAGAGAAAGACAATTACCAAATGATCTCACTCATATGTGGAATTTAAGAAACAAAATGGAGGATCATAGGGGAAGGGAGGGAAAAATAAAACAAGATGAAATCAGAGAGGGAAACAAACCATAAGAGACTCTTAATCATAGGGAACAAACTGAGGGTTGCTGGAGGGGAAGGGGTGGAGGGACGGGTGATGGACATTAAGGAGGAGACGTGTGTAATGAGCACTGGGTGTTGTGTAAGACTGACGAATCACTGAACTCTACCTCTGAAACTAATAATACACTCTATGTTAATTAATTGAATTTAAGTATTAAAAACTTGGTTTACAAACTAAATAAATAAAATTACATCATGGTAAAAATAAATAAATAAATAAAGCCTGTGTCTTTTCCCTCATGATGCTCCCAATCTGGTGGTGGTACAAACAGCTTCATAATATAATATGAATATAGAAAAGTTATAAAGATTATGGGAAGATAAAGGGTGATAGAACTTTGAGGAATGAGAAATATGACTATAAAAGGCTTCGGGATGGAGGGAACACAGGGTCTGGCGCACCAAGCCCTCTGAAGCACGAGGGACACCCCCGCCCCCAGATGCTAGGGGGACTCCGGGGCCCAGCAGTACCTTAGCATGGTGCAGGTCTACTCCATACATGGAAAGCTTCTTGGCGTTCTCTAAGAAGTGGATTTCTGCTTCTCCTGGAGTCATGCCCCTAAAGGAAAGAACATGATCACAGGCAGCCATGAAAAGGCCCAGGCCTAAGACCTGCTGGCTGAAGGTGGCCATGATCAGAACCTGTAATTCTAGGAAGGCAAACGTTCTGGAGTAGGCATATGGCTAGGCCTCTCGCAGTCCCTCCCCTCTGCTCTCAGCCCTCGCTTCCATCCACCCAACCCCCTCCTAGTGTCAAAGCTCAGGTCCAGTCCTGTCTCCTCCGGGAAGTATTTAAGGGATGAGCTGGGAGCCGGAATTTCTGCTTCATTCTGCCACAGAATTCAACGTGAGCCACAGATTCTAATTCTCTGAGGCTGCAAAGCCATCGTGGAAGCCATGGTTCGTTACAATCACCCAGGGGCTCCGAAATGATCACCCACGTAAGACACTTCTCTCAGAATTTTCTATCAGAAACCACTTAATCCCCCCCCTGAGGAGCAGGTGCACATTCTCCTTTCTGACAAGAGAGTTACGTAATTCATCCAGTTCCTTCTTTGTTTCGGCTGCCGGGGAACCGTACATCTTCCATTTAAGCCACAGCAAACATTTAGTGAGCATGATGTGCTGGTCACAGTTCCAAACCCTTCACGGGCATGAACTCACCGAATCCTCATAACAGTGAGGTCGGTGTAAGGTCGGTGTCCTCATTATTCCCACTTTATAGAGAAACCAGCATGGAGAGGCTGAATGACTCGTCTCAGGCCACACAACTATTCAGGAGCAGAGTCGGGACTTGAATCCAGACAACGTGGCTCCAGAGTATGTGCTCCTTCCCAACCTCTTCCCTTACATCTGTGTCATATCCCCTGGGCCTCGGGGTCCTCTGCTCTGTCTGCCTCCGTGAGCGGCCGCGGGAGATGCCTGGACACTAGGTGTCCATGTGCTTTCAGTGTCAAAAGAGCTGTAAAAACTAAAGGGATGGCCTTTGCCTTTCTCCACCCATATACGAGCTTCTTTCTCTGAGTTATTAGGACTCTTGCAAATCCCTCCCACATCTTGCTACCTAAGGCAGGGACGGCATACAGGCGGCAGGTGGGCCATCCCTCCCTATTCCTGAGCCCCGGCCGACAGTGCTAACCAGTCGAATGGTTTCAATGTCCTGCTCAACGCAGAACGACAACAGCCGCTGCTAACCAGTCAGAGTTGCTGTGCAGAGTCTCTGAGGGACACACTTGCCCCTGGGGACCTAGCATTCTGTCACACCCCAGCAGGTTCTCTTCCCCCTGTACACAATCCCTCCACATCTGGCCCTCAGCTTCTTCCCCAGATCCAACCCCCCTCAGGCCTCCCATCCTCATTAGCGATGAGATAACTTCACCATACCCACCCCCTCACATGCACACACTTTACAGCTTGTGACGCGCTTCACATCATTGGTCACATTGGGTGCCCATAACGACCCTGGACTCAGAGCCCAAAGCACTTCCCATTTGAAGGGATCCTAGAGACCATTTAGTTCCAGGGGAACCCCCCACCCCCACCAAGGGATGGTACCAACCACACAGTGGCATTTGGGAATGGGGGAGGGGGCATTTTGGTTATTATGATGACGGAGAGGGTGTTAGGGGCATTTAATGCCTGGAGCCCGGGGATGCCAGACATCCCGCACAATGAATTCTCCTGCCCCAAATACCAACAGCTGAGACAGACAGATCATCTAAATCCAACCACGTGCAAGTGAAAAATGGGGCTGATAAGTTAAATAGTCAGCCCTATGATGACCCATCAGGTTAGTTATCTTCTAACTCCGAGAATAAGGCGCTTTCTGTTGCACAATCAGCTATTCAACCCCCAAGATCACAGAGCAACAATAAATACGTGGTGTCTCTGTACTATGTGCCATGTAGCCCCCAACAGTGCCAAGGCAGGTTCTATTAGCTCCTACACTGAACAGATGAGGAACTGAAATGACCCGCCCAGATCCCCTGGTTAGAAAGTGGCAGAGCCAAGAATGTGAACCCAGGCAGTCCGGCTGCAGAGGGCAAACTTTTGAGTTTTACACCAAGACCGAGACAGCTAGTGACTACCATTCCCATTTGATAGAGACCCAGTGGGCTGAGATGATTGGCTCCTAGATGCACCTCTGGTCCGGTCAGGGCCAGAGTCAGGTGGGGGACTTACAGCCCAGCACCTGGGGCCCTAGTCGATGGCTGAAAAGCCAGCGGAGGCTCTGGGCAGAGGCCCCTCACCTGTATGTCTTGTGCAGTTCCATGATCCTCTCCTCCAGTTCCCGGGTCTGGTTGGGGGCGAAGCGGAGCTCGCTGACATAGTTGCCTACGTGCTCCTCGGCGTCATAGTCGCCCAGCTCCGCCTGCACGGCGTAGGAACCCAGCAGGGCATGTGTGACAAAGGAGCATGGCAGCCGGCCCGTGATGATGTCCGCCCTCAGCTGCAGGCACAGGTAGTATCTGGAGAGAGGGGAGAGTGGCCATGGGCACGGGCCCCACTCCCTCCCTAGATGCCCCCAGCACCGCTGCCCACCCATCCATCAGAACCAAACCACCAACACTCAGCTCAGTAGACTAGGAACGTTCCTGACACTGTCATTTCAGGTGTTGATGATTTGGGTGTGTCCAAAAGATGGTTTTGTCCCATTCCACGTGCCTTTCAGCATTTTGTTAATTTCTAACTTTGAGGGATTTTTCCTACTGTGGGAACATTTGAAATTTCTAACTCATTTTCAAGCTAAGTAGGACTACTTTGCTGGTTAGCCATTTTTTTTAATGTCATGTATTTTTAATCATACAATTAATTATATTCTTATTGTGGAACAAATGCAAACGTTATTTAGAGGTGATTCTAAATTTCCTCTCAACGTCCATTCTCAGCCCGAGTCTCCTCTCCTAGAGGTCACCCCTATTATCCAGGTGGTGTTTTGACCTTTTCTCCCCCATGGTACAGAAATGCATGTGTTTTGATTCGTGGGTGTTTTTAACATGTACACAGGATCAAATGGTACATCTTACTCTCCAGCTTGCTTTTTCATGCACCTAGTGCCCTTCCATATCAGCACAAACAACTTGACCTCATTCATTTTAACTTCTGCACCACATTCTACAGTGAGGACAAACCTGGTCACGAATGTTTTCTCAAAACCTTTTAATTTTGCCTCCAGCTCTAAGTGAATTGTCTAAAAACAAATTGCTTTAAAAGAAACATCTCCAGGGGAGCCTGGGTGGCTCAGTCATTAAGCGTCTGCCTTCGGCTCAGGTCATGATCCCAGGGTCCTGGGATCGAGCCCCGCGTCGGGCTCCCTGCTCAGCGGGAAGCCTGCTTCTCCCTCTCCCACTCCCCCTGCTTGTGTTCCCTCTCTCGCTGTGTCTCTCTCTGTCAAATAAATAGATAAAATCTTTAAAAAAAAAAAAAAAGAAACATCTCCAACCACAAGAATATTATTTTTTATAACTTTATGCACACTTGGATGATTTTATAATTTTTAGGTCCATTTTAAACCATTTTTTAATTGCTTTTTCGGTTACTGCATTAAAAAAAAAGTTTCAGTTCATCCTCAGCCAGTGATGCCTCCCTGCCCATTTTGCCATGTTTCACCATTGCTTCCAATTGCCTATTTCTTTTCCTTTTAAGTGCTTTTTACTCAGTATAATTTTTAGTACTCCATGACATGAAGCTCTGGCAAAAAGTACGTGCGGCCTCAGTGCATGCTCAGGGCGAAGGCATAGGCTCAGAATCAGTGCGGCTCAAACATCATGGGCACCAAGTGTGGGCTTAAGGGCATCTTGTTCAAGTCTAAAAATTCGAAAATCACTGCCAAACACCCTGACCAATATTTCATTTCAATCAATTTGTCATTCTGACCAGTTTATTTGGGGCCTGGATATTTTCGACTAAATCAGCTGCTACTACCACCCCCTTCCCTGAGGTCATCCATGCTAAGCAGGGCTGATTTCCCTCCTGTGTCCCTAGAAGCCCAATGCCCAGGGTCTAGCACAAAGAGGAAAGATACAAGTGGGTAAGACCAGAGGGATGGGGATTAAGCCAGTCTACAGCTCTCAGCCCTCCTGGAAAGGAAGTTGAGACCCTGTTGCTGAATCTTGGATCCAAGATGACCCTAGGGGTTAGAGCAGGGCTAATGAGGCCAAGGCTTCAGGTCTGATCTATCCCATGGACATCTGTATTATCCCCCAAGGCCAGAGTCGGCATCGTGACTGCAGCCCGTTGCGTGGCAAACAGGCAGCCAACATTCAGGAGGGACCCAACAGGAGAGAGAGAGGCTGGCTTAGGAGCCCTTCCCCTGCTGCAGGAATAACTCCAAGCCCACATCTTATTGTTGGTGGCATGTAGGGCCCCGCACATGGATGACACAGCCCCCAGATATCATGAAGTGAGACTCTCTCTTTGGAAGGGGCTTAGATAAAGAGAAGGGCCTCCCTGTTCTGATTCCAGAGGCAGGATGAACCCCACAGAAGTTCTCATTCTCGAGAATGCTTTGCACCCCTTCCACCCTTCAAGCCACGTTATTTACTGGCCCTGAGGCACAATGAGATTGTACACACAATCCATGTTCATCCCAGCAGCCCAGGCTTGCCTCCATGGGGGGCCAGGGGGTTACGGTCTAATTTGACCCTTACATGCCTGTCAGGTACCCAGGGCAGCATGTGGGACCAAATTCCTCCCTGCAAAGGCGTCTGCGCTCTACTCCCTCTTTATCCCCTAAGTAAAATGGTGCTCTGCTCAGAACGTGACGTGTTTGGCTTGTCCCAACCAGAGATGGCCTCCACCATGTTCTTAAAAAGTCTGAATTAGTTGCCCATATTTAAAAATTGTGGATTTTACTGTCAAATCTCTCACTTCACTTCAACAAGGGGCCCAGTTCCCACATAGCAGGGATGGCTGGAGCCGAACGGCAATTGTTTGAGGTGGCGCGTGTCCTCTTGAATTTCAATTCCAATCAATGAAATGGGTCCCGATGCTGCCTGGGACGCCTCCCCTCTCCGAAGGGGAGGGTCAGCTGTCACTGACCGCTGTGTTTGCGCCACCTCCTCTTGCGCTGAGTCAGCTTCCTTTGTCGATGCTGTCTGCCTGGCCTCGCTGGGCATCTGAGTTTGCAACTGTCCTCACGTACTGCCCCGTGCCTACCAGGCCCAGGTGTCCTCATTCCTAGTCACATGGCCAGCACGCCCACGCCCCCTCCACAGCCCTCACCTTGTGATGTCTTCTGTCAGCTGGGCAGGGTCAGGGGGGTAGAACTTGACTGTGAAGGCAAAATTCCAAGGGCTGCCTGAGAGGAGTAAATAGGGGAAAAATCAGAGAGGCCCCATCACCCCAGCGGGTGGCCCGGATGCACCATCCCATGGGCAATTTCTCAGGGTTTTCTCATATCTATAATTCCAGGACAATCCAGTCAGGAAGCCTGAAATAATTTTCCCACTTGAAAGATGAGGAGACTGTGAAAGTTGAAAGACTTGTGACATAGCAACGGGAAGGAAGGTGGAAAGAAAGAAAAACAGTGGTGCATGCCAGGCCTACTCGTCATCATGAACATCACTTCAGTAAACCTTGCAACAACCCTATGAGTAAATCTGATGATCATCCCCATTTTGCAAATGAGGACACTGAGGCCCAGGCCATAAAGTGGCCAGACCAAGATCACTCAGCTAGGAAGCAGCAATGCTGGGGTTCAGACCCCAGCCTCCTGGCTCCAGAGCTCGTGCTCCCTCCTCCACACCAAAGTCTATGCCACGGGATGTTCATGGGAAGAAAACAAGTCACATTCAGTGGGTTCCCTGGGGTCCCTGGGTGACTCAGTCAGCTGAGTGTCTGGCTCTTGGTTTCAGCTCAGGTCATGATTTCAGGGCCCTGGGATTGAGCCCCACATCAGACTCCATGCTCAGTGGGGAATCTGCTTGAGATTCTCTCTCTCCCTCTCTCTCTGCCTCTCCCCCCTCTAAAATAAACAAATCTGAAAATAAATAAATAAATAAATAAATAAATGGGTTCCCTAACTTTGTACTTCTCGAAGCCCCCACCGTGCCATTGCAAACTGCAGCCCTCTAAAGGGGACATGCAAATAGTCAGGGGTTTCCCAAACTTATTTGACCTGCTGTGTCCATTTCTCATGGGGCATCCTGCCAGATTATGGTTCCTAGGAACACCCTTGGTAAGACTCTGCCCTATGTGGGGTCGGCTCCATCTCAGATGGCAGAATGGGGTTATAAGCAAGACCTAAAAGGCAAATGTAATGAGTGGAAAGTAGCAAAGGGTATTTCACAGGGATAAATGTTTACCTCACTCTGAGATACAAACAATCAAGGGTACACATGTAGGTACAGAGAGAAATAAAGGTTGGGGCTTTAGCTGGAAACAAGCTCCGCAAGCCAAGAGAAGGGATGACCACATGAGAGAGAGGAGGCCTTGGGGAAAGGCTGCAATCTAGAACAATGGGCAGACCACCCCTGGGGCTCTGCAAGGCCCAGCCAGGGCAGGACCATGGTCACCAAGGGCTGGAGGCCATGCGGTCACTACCGTCCTTGTCCCTATGGTCATCACCACCTTCCCCATACAGCTGTAGCATCTCTAGCACTTACTAGGTGCTGGTCATTTCACTTGCTAGGAACTTTATGTGCACACGGAGGAGTCTGATCTTCATGATGATCCTGAGGTAAACCTTTCCTTTTATAGATGAAGATTCGGAGGGGGTAAGTCACCCTCCTGGGATCGCTGAGCTAGTCAGCGGTGGAGAATGGGGATGTAACCTCTGGTCATCTGACCCCAGAACCCGGGCTCCTGACCACAGCTGACTCCTTGGAAAAGGCAGCCTCAAGGAGAACAATCCTTGTCTCAGGAGTAGTGGCAGCAGTAATAGTAATAGTAATAGATCATATGTACCGGGCGCTGCTATGTGTAGGCACCATTCTAGGTGCTGTACATAGAACAGCTCACTTAGCCTGCACAACCACCCTAAAGGTAAGTAGTCTTGGAGTCCAGATTCAAATCCAGGCAGTCCGGCTCCCGTGTCTGTCTTTCAACCATCACACCAGACTACCTCAGGAAAGCACCTACTATGTGCCCGGTGCTGTCCACACATAACTGGCACCCTCGCCTTGTGAGGCATGGATCGCTAATCTACTTGCCAACGAGAAGCAGGAGCCCAGAGAGGTACCCCCAGTGCCCTCAGGATGGGCACCGAGATTTGGGAGAAAACAGACCCAGCTCTGAAGCCCAGGGCACAGGGTGGCGCCTCCTTCAGGAGGCTGAGGGGCTGTCACAAAGAAAGGAGCAAACAATGGTGGGGTGGCCGGCTGGCTCAGTCAGTGAAACATGTGACTCTGGATCTCGGGGCTGTGGGTTCGAGCCCCACGCCGGGTGTAGAGCTTACTTAAAAATAAAATCTTAAAAAAAAAAAATTGTTCCATAGGGCCCCAGAAAGCAGAACAAAGATGAATGGGTAGAAGTCCCAGGGGTAGGGACGGAGACTGCGGCTCTGCTGAAGGGGGCAGGCTGCTCCTCCGTGAGTGGAGGTGGCCATAAGCAGCAACCATTGCCCGCGCCCGGGCTGTGCTGGCCGGGGCCGCAGAGATAGGGGACCAACTCCCTGCCCTGGGGAAAGATGCTGAGCTCTAAGGATTCTGCTGTCTGCTTCTCCTTCCCAAGCTCCCAGTCCTCCTCAAACTGCACACTCAGCTGCCTGTATGTGTTCCAATTCTTTCAGGCATGAGAGGCGGGCCTCCCAGCTGGGCCGTGACTCCTAGGGACAGCCCAAAGCCCAGGCCTAGGACCCTGTCAGGCCCAGAGGAGCGGGCTCTGTCTGTGTGCCTGCCTCTTTGTCTTCAACTGACAGGAGCCTCCAGGAAGAATCCCTCCAGCCCCTCCCGGAGAGTCAGCTAGCATCCCTGGGCCCAGCTGCCTGTTGTCATGGCAACAGGCTCTGCTTTCCAGCCCTGGGGACCAGGGAGTCCAAGCACAGCCAAGGGGGAGGGGCTCCCAGTGGAGGCATGTCTGCTTCTAGGCTCCAGGTCTCCACCCACTATATGCCCCCTGGCTCAGGCCACCTACCTCCCCCCTTCTGCCATTAGAAGGCTGCTCCACCCCTCGCAATATGCCTTTCCTCTCTGGGCCAGAAAGGACAGGTTGTCTCTTCACTCCAGGCCTTGAAAAGAGAGCAGGATGGTGTTGGGAGGCCAAGGCTAAAGATCTGGCTTGGCCAATAGTTCACTCTGTGACTTTAGGTAAGCAACCGCCTCTCTCTTGGCCTACAGTCACCCCATCGTTAAATAGAGAAGATGACTCAGACCAGCACAGGCCTTGCTTTTCCCTAACATGTTAACTCCTATCCGTGGGCAGTGGTCTGCAGCGCTGTACGGAAGAAGATTCCGAGCTGAGTCAAGGGTCACCGATCACAGAAGTCTACACCCACTGGACTGGAAGGAGGCTGTCTGCAGGCCATCAATATGTCCCCTTGTCCTAGATGATTCTGCAGGTCCCTTCTAGAGCTGCCATCCTGAATGCATCTATGATTCCTCCGCTAACCTGCTATGTGACTCTAGATGGTCATTTCTCTTGTCCCTCCTTCAGGTTTTCATTTAGAAGACAATGCCCTGCCTTCCCCCAGATCTGCTGTGCAGAGCAAGTGAACTCATGGGTCCGAATGCACTTCCCAAGGAAGAGGGAAGAGCATAACTGGGGCTCCTGCAGCCTGGAGCCCCCACCCTCCCTTCCACAACATTCCCAACCACAACAGGCCACTCACTCCGGATCTGCTTCTTGATTTCCTTGGAGGGGTCCAGCCAGTTCTGAAAGAGAAGACAGGGTTCTTTAGAGGGAAGATGGAGGAGAGGGCCAGATAGGGCTATGAGACAGAGACATCCCGAAATAGCCTGTCAACAGCCCCTGGCGGGGAACACCCTTCTCAGGCTGAGCTGTCCAGACCCTTTGGAGCTGGGAGGGAAGGGACCGAGGCCAGGATTCCCCACAGGGTTTGGGCCCCTGGGCCTGGGGCTGGCACCGCCCTGAGGCAGCTGGGCGGGCAGCTGCAGTGGGACCAGTGGGAAGGAGGAAACCCAGACAGGGTTCTCCCGAGGGATGGAAAAGAGGCGCTGCAGTAAGTGTCTCAGTTCCCCCAGGAAGCCAGGCTGTGGCTCTCCAGACACCCATCTGGGGGGTGACTGGCAGGTCGCCAAGAAAGGTCTAGGTGGGAGGGGTAGAGACAGAGAACTGAGACAGATAGGGCTGGCTGAACCTTGGCTATGTGCAAACAGAAGGTGCCTAATGAGGATATGAGGACCGACGGAAGGCGTGGGATGCAGTCAGGACTAGGGGGGCCTAAGACAAGAGGTCTCCCCGACAGCAGGCCTCCCCTGCCAACCCTGCCCACCACCACAGATACCTTCTGGCTGTCGGCATCACAGAAGGTCAGGCCGAAGTAGTCCTTCTCCAGGAGGTTGAGGTGCTCACAGACCAGGTCAAACAGCACCTGGCCCCGGCCGTGTTTCTGAAGAGGGGAGCAGAGAGGCTGTAAGGCTGGGACACACCCCGGGGGGGCTCCACTGGGACCACCTGAAACCCCCAAGAGTCTCTGGGCGTCTAAAGAGGATCTCAGCCCTCCTGCCACCCACCTCGCCCTGCTCTCCGAGCCCCACCAGGTCCTAGGTGACACTAATGCCCAGCTCACCAGCTGCCTTCTGCCAAGCCCTGCTGGGGTCCTCCTAGACCTTAAACCTACTTTGGGGAGGAGGGGTGGGGGGTGACCGATTCCCCTTCCTTCACAGAGATTAAGAGAAGGAGGTTAACTTTGACCCAGGAAGCAGAAAACCAAAAGTCTAAGCTTGAGTGTAAGAGGGAGAGAAAAGCCACCTGAAAGATGAGGGACATGGGCAGGGGACAAGGGAAGGGCTCAGGACTCAGGGTCACAGTGTGACTCTCCTTCCCTGGCCCTCCCCTTACACGAAGTCTGAGTGAAATCCAGGGCAGCCCAGCCTGGAGTGCCACCTCCTGCCTGGGCAGCAAGTAAGGTTTTTATAGGGGCTCCTGGGGCCTAGATGAGCCTCAGCTGGAAGCAACATTACAGCCACCTTTTCCCACCGCTCCCAGACAACCAGGCTCAGTACCTCTCTGAACCACCATGTGGGCCTGAGGATTCGGAAGGACAAAGCCCAGAACCTGGCTGGGTACTCCAAACCCACAGGTGTGAAGATGAGCACCAATAAAGGGACCACAGGCTGGGGGAACGTGAAGCAGTCACTGTCCAAAGAGGGTGGGACTCCAGAGAGAGGGTGAGGTTCCTGCAAGGTCTGGCTCGGTCACCAGGCACTAGGACCAGGCCTAACTGTGGAGAGCAGCTTTGGGAAGCCAAGGGATTCCTGAGGCTGGAAGAGTCCTTCAGAGAGAATGGACCTGGCCTCAGCCAAACCCTCTACGCTCTCCTGAGGCAAGCTGCAATAGCATCTTGGGGCTGCTGTGGGTAGGAGAGAACAGATATCCCTTCCTTTTGCCTAGGAGTAGGCAAGATGTTCACTTTGAAATCCTTCTATAGAAGAAACAGACATTAAAAAAACAAAAACAGGGCGCCTGGGTGGCTCAGTTGGTTAAGCGACTGCCTTCGGCTCAGGTCATGATCCTGGAGTCCCTGGATCGAGTCCTGCATTGGGCTCCCTGCTCAGCAGGGAGTCTGCTTCTCCCTCTGACCCTCCCCCCTCTCATGTGCTTGCTCTCTCTCATTCTCTCTCTCTCAAATAAATAAATTAATAAAATAAAATAAAATAAATATATAAAAAAACAAAAACAAAACCAACCCAACTCTGCAGAGAAGAGGGGCCCAACCTGCCAGGGCCCAGAAATAAGTCATATCCCTTAAGACCAGGGTGGCAGGGGGTGGGGTGGGGCAGGGGCACCAGGGAGAGAGAGAGGTGGTTCCTATAACTCTTAGGGAAGGCCACCCTCTGGACCCTTCTATACACATGGAGAGGGCCAGGAATGGTGCCCAGACCGGGATGGACCCTCCAAGGGGATGAGTGAGAGCTCAGAATTAGGGTGGGAGTCCTAGCCTATATAGGAAAGGGAGACAGCAAATGTGGGGCCGGGGGGGCTGACCCCAGACAGGAGGTGTCTGCCCCTGCTACCCATGGTGGGACAGGATCATGCCACAGGATCTCTATGTGGCCCAGGTGATGGAGTCCTTCCTCTCTATGCCTGGGGGGGGACACCCATACCATGAAACCCTTAAGTGACCAGTTTGTCCTGCTGACCTGGACAGGGGCATTCCCTTCACAAGGGAAGATCCCTCTCTCCGCCCAATAAAAACATAAAAACAATTCTAGTTGAAACACCAGCGTCTGCTAGGTGAGACTGAAGAGCCCAGTCCGTAAGGCCTACCGGGCTAGAGATCAGCCCTGGGACGGTGACTCCTTGCCAAGGTACAGCCCCCCCGAGAAACCTTTTCCTGGCGCCAACCCTGCGCCTCGTCTAATTCCATTTGCAATCATAACAGCCCTCTCCAGGCCTCAGTGCCACCATCTGTACAAAGGAGGGCCGCCAGGTCATCTCTCCAGGATGCCACAGTCGGTCCAGGCCTCCATGAAGAATGGACGCTCTCTGGCTTGGCCCAGGCTGAGCGCACACAGAAGCCTGCCCTGGCTCTGGGGCCAGTCGGCTGGGGACCGGGTCTGTGGTGGGGGGTGCTCCCTACCTCCACCTCACACTCGTACTCAGAGGCATCGAGCAGAGTGACTCGGCAGATGGCACTCTTGTACTTCTTGGCAATCTTCTGGGGTGATTTCTGGGCTCTGCTGGGCGTGGTCCTCTCTGACAGGCCATCAGCCTCCCCATACCCCTTCTCCTCCATGTCTAGGCTCTGTAGGTCCAACAGGGGGAAAAGTCTGGTCAGTGAACTTGAGACCACAGCCTTTCAAGCAAATGAAGACCCAGTAAGGATGCAGCAGCTGGGGCTAAGATGGTCTCCAAAATGAGAGCCACGGCCCTCCACGACCCCCAGGGTGACCGGCGTCTATGGTTGGTATATAGAGGAGGAGAACCAGAGCTTCTTTGTGCAACAGGGTGGGCTCATGGAAGGGGCCACTTCTTCAGAGGGACAGCCTCGGCAGGCAGGAAGCATTCAGAGCTGCCCTAGCTCCCCAAAGTGGCGTGTGAGTTCTCAGAGCATCCATCTGGCCTCCCCCTTATCGGTCTGTCACTGGTCTAGCATGAGGCGGAGAGCTGGTGGACTGATCTAATGGAGGAAGGGAGGTCAGAGCCCTGCCAGCTAGTCCTAACTGCCACCAGTGCCCTCAATGACCTTGGCCAAGTCCCCGCCCTCTCAGCCTGTCCTGAAGGAAGGGAGGTGTGAACTGGATAGCTAGATGATTCAGCAAGTCCCTTGTCCCTAATTTAGGGTGATGCATTTTGCTCTGGGGTCATACTGGGTTTGCCAGGCTAGAATGGGCAGGTTCAGGGGGTAGGAAAATAAGGTTGAAAGAACCAGGTTTTGGGAATCAGATCTAGATTTTATTTCCATCTGTCACTGGATAGCAATGTGACTTTGGGTAACTCACTTCATCTGCTGAGCCGCTGTTTCCCCAAGTGTAAAATGGGGAAATTAATATCACTCTCATAGAGGCGCCTGGCTGGCTCAGTCAGCAGAGCATGTGACTCTTGATCTCAGGGTCGTGAGTTCAAGCCCCACGCTGGGCATTGCGCTAACTTAATTAAAATATAAATAGATATATATCACTCTCCGTAGGTTTGGGAGAATTAAATATGAAAGTGACCACAATGCCCCCAGCACAGAGCTCGGCACGTAATGAGTCAGTAATAAATCTGTTTCCGCTTCCCTCCCCACTACGAACTGGCCCTGGATGATGGCTGGGCAGGGAGAGGGATGCCCATGCTCTCAGGCACACACCTGTCCAGCAGGCCGATTGTCCTGCTGGGGCGGGTGCTTCTCATTGGAGTTGGCCTCCAGGTGGCCGCCGTGGCCTGCGGGGGTCACAGGGGTGGTCGCAGCGGCGGTCGCAGCGGCGGCTGCCTCGGGCTGCTGTGGGGCCTCCTCCTGAGCCTTCTTCACCTCAGAATCGGGGCCTGTCTCTGTTGTCATGGTGACCAGCACGCCTGCATTAGCATGAAGGAGAGCACATGACGGGGGGGGGGGGGGGACGCAACGATGGTGTGACAGGACAGAGCAAAGGGGACAGGAACCACATGCGGAGAGAGACAGATGGACACAAATGGACGAAGAGCCACGGAGAGAGGAAAGAGGGAGGGAGGGAGGGACAGAGGAAGTGGGGGTGGGGAGAGAGCAGAAGTCAGGGGTTACTGGCGGCAGCCCAAGTCACAGACCCCCTCCCACTCTTGTGACCATAGAACTCTTCAGGGACTCCTCCAGTCTCTCACCCAGTTCTGGAATGGGGACCCTCCTCGGGACAATGAGAGTCTCCCCAGGGAGCCCCACTCTGCACAAAGGAGCACAAAGGACAGTCAGTGGCCCCCTCGGGGCAGGCCCTCAGTTGGGCTGTCTCTCCAACCCCAGCACCAGGCACACAGTAGCCGCTCAATAAACTCTGGATAAACTGAACTCAACCAAAAAAGCCCTGGGCTCCAGGCCCTTCCAGCACTGACTCTGAGCAAGGCTCTTCATGCCCGAAGCCTGAACCGCTATCTTCACAGGGATGTTGACAGAATGGATCTACAGGGATAAGACAGGAGGGCACCATTAAAAACACGCAGAGCCCTGATGATGTAAGTCAGGACACCTGGACGCGGGCCCTGGGTCTGCCACACACAAGGCAGTCATTTCACCACACTAGGACTCACCCACAAAGCATGGGACTTAGAGAAATTATCTCTGGGACAGGCTACTCTTACCCTTTTCCCCTTGGAGCAGGAAATGAGATTTCAGAGAATCAGGGACCTAGTGCCCAGCCATTCTGTTGGCATAAGCAAAATGCAAGGAGAAGAAAGGAGAAAGAATGGCATGTCTCCATTTTTATATTTAAAAAAACAAAACAAAACCTCAGCAATACCTCTTTGTGTTTATACATCTGTAGTAAAAGATCTGAAAGGATACTGACCAAACTGTTCAGACAGCTTCATAACTGAGAAATGGATAGAGGAAAAAGAGGGCGTTCCATGGGGTGGGCGAAGAAAGGGAACTTCATTTTTTACTTTATATGCTTTGGAATTACTTCTATAATTCTAAATACACACAATCACAAATTGGGTTTTTTTTAAAGGGGGTGCAAAAGCACCTATTCCGGACCCCAGTCAGAGTGGATCCAAATAAATAAATAAATAGATAGATAGATAGATAGATAGATAGATAGATAGATAGATAGATAGGTTTGGAGCTAAAACCAGAGGAACAGGGAAATGGGCAGGAACCCCCACCCTTGAGCCCACAGCCTCCCTCTAAATCCATTATATTAAATGAGAAAGATCCAGACTAGACCTGGCAGGTCCCTTCCCAACCCCATTCACCACGGGAGGCCTCCAGTGAGCAGCAAACAGACAGACGGACACCAGCTCCACCTTGTGCTACGCACATGCTCCAAGCCCTTACCCCCCACTCCCCTGGTCTCCTTCAGTTTCTCTCCCAGCATTCCAGGCGGCACCAGCTCAGCCCCAAGTGAAGGGCACTGGCCAGCAAGCCAAGGACCCTGAGTGCCCCGCTAGGCCACAAAAGAACTGCAGGCCCCTGAACAGGTCACACTTTGTAAGCCAGAGCTCGAGGAACAAATGAAAGGGTTTCTTGTTCCTGATGCTGCTATTAAGAAGTAAGATGAGGAGGAAGAGAAGGCCTTCGTCACCCAGCCTCACCCCCAGAAATGCTTTCCACTCATGTCATTACCTCGGACTTTATGGTTTGACTTAAAGCCATAGTTAAATAAAGGCTCTCTGTCACTTCCGTGACCCCAGATGCCGACTCTGGGCCAGGACACGAAGCACCAGGAGCAGCTCCAGGGGAGCTCTCGGTCTCGTAGGGTCTGAGGGACACCTGTCTGCCTGGGTCTGCGTCTCTTCAAGGCCTGCACCTGAGGACATCAGCCATTATACTAGAGAAGGTCTATAAGAAGAACCCTTAAAATGAATGCCCACTTAATTTCACTTTAAAAAAATAAAAAAGGATCCACAGACTAATCTGTCGGTGTTCTGCTTCCCACCGCACTTTGCTGCCTCAAGCAAACTTGAACAGAACCAACTGGAAGGAGAAAGCACTCAGGTCCAGGCTGGAAGCCAAAGAGGCGGCCTGAGCCACCAAGGAACTCCACGGCCAGGGCCTGGTGACAGAAACGATGGCTCATCCTTTCTAGAGCGTTAAAAAGGATGACATAAAAGAAATACCTGAATGAAAAGCTCCATACACAACAGCTTATACAGACTGACCCTACTTAACACATATGCATGGATACAGAATATTCAACAAAGTATTAATTGTAGTCGTTTCTAGATGGCATGAGTGCAGGTTATTTTTTCTTCTGTTTAAATGTCGTTCTCAATTTTTCCGCTAGGAGATTTCTTGATTAAAAAAAATGAGAGGTTAAAAAATAAAATCTTCCAATGCACAGGGCTTGGTGTGACAGGATGAGGAGATAAAGTCTGATTAAACTTAAAATGTTTATGAATTTATTTTCTTAAAAGATTTATTTATTCACTGAGAGAGAGCAAGTGCATGCTAGAGTGAGCACAGGGGGAGGGGCAGAGAGAGAGGGAGAATCTCTAGCAGACTCACTGCTGAGCTCAGAGCCTGACATGGGGCTCAATCTCATGACCCCGAGATCATGACCTGAGCCAAAATCAAGAGTTGCATGCCTAATTGACTGCGCCACCCAGGCACCCCAAAAAATTTTTATGAATTTAAAAGAAAAATAACATTATTATTATTATTATTATTATTATTATTATTTTAAACCTATGATGAGATCCTTCTTGATTTCACAAGTCCAGGGATAACAGTATGGTTTTCTCTCTAGGCCACCGAAAGCAAGCCAAGAACCTGGCCTTGGGTTCTGCCAGAGCCAGTCACGTGGGCACAGTTCTGCCTGGGCCCAGGTCAGCAGAGACTGAGGGAGCCGCTGGGCAGCCTGGCCAGATGGGCGCTGCAGGGGCCCCAGGGGAAACACATGCTGGTTCCTTGGAACTCACTGCAACATGGGAGGATAATGCTCACCCAGAAAATGGTTAAACACCCAGGCAGGATGTGATTTAGATTTGCTGGTGTACGTTTTAGCTCTAGAAGGTTCTGGGGAGTTGGTGATCAGGAGTACGACCTAGAATACCCAAAGAAGGGCTTATGGGGGGGGAGTGGGGGGGGGTGGAGTCACTGAGTCACCGTGTGGGCAAATGTCCAGAGACGGGAACAAGTAGGCCCGTGCAGAGGACGGACAGGAGGCCCTGACATCCTGATACCTTAGAACAAGAAGCCTATAACGTGAGCTCCAAAGAGCCTGGCAGGTGGAGCAGGTTGGAGAAGGGGAGAAGTGAGTGAACTGGGGGTGGAGCAGACGGCCTCGCAAGAGTCACGTGTTACTCTGCTAGAAAGGGCAAGACTCCCATCATGGAGTGCTGCTGGGGGCCAGGCCCACGGTCAGGGACTAGACACACCGGCTTCTCGTGGACTCCTCACAGGGGCACCAGGCAGGGTGGGGGGCAGACCTAGGTCAGTCAGACCCAGACCCAAAGCCGAGCACCACCAGTGGCTCACTCCGTGACCGTGGGCAAGTGACTTCAATGCTCTGAACCTCAGTCACCTCATCTATAAAATGGAGATACTCCCCCCTCCTTCTGAGGGTGGTGGTAGAGAGTCAGGAAAATAACCTAGAGAGAGCACTTAACATGGTATGTACCCAATAAAACAGCGCTGAGAGGGTCTATACTTAAAACAGTCCCGAGGAGCTGCAGCGGGGAGTGGTCTGAGAACCAGGAATTCAGAAGCGCCAGCCCAGAACGGATGGAGAAGGATATGCGCCAAGCGCCAGAGCCCAGCAAGGCCAGACTGATGGCATGACCATATGAAAACCCAACGCAGAGGATTCGGAGAGAGAAAGGTCAGCCGGAGAAGTGAATGCTGACAGGGCCCACAACAGCGCTGTCAGCCCTGTCTGGCTGAGACCAGTCGAGAAGGCTGTCGGCATCTGATGCTCGTGAGCACGGCAAGCACCGGCTGGCTCCCCTGGCTCCCCTCTCCGGGGGCACCATGGCTGTCCATCTGGGTGGCCTGCTGCCAGAGAATGTCCTAAGCCGGGCAACGCAATATCCACTTGGCCTGACGTTGCACCAACTCATTAAACATGAATCAGCTGGTTTATAAATCAGGCCCTACAGCCAGGGTTAGCATGAATCAGCACCTCTGAATCCAGTACCTTGGCTTTGTTCTTTTTCTCCATCCCCACAGCCACTGCCCATGTCCCAGCCACTGTCAAGCCATGCCCACATGGCTGCCCGGCCTCCTTCGTGGATTCTCTGTGGCTGCCCAGGCCTCCTAGGGTTTATTCTCTTCAGAACTGCCACATGGATCTTTCCAAAAGTCCAACTGGATGCTCTCTTTATTTTTTGTAATTCAAGTATAGTTGACACACAATGCTACATTAGTTTCCATTACACAACATAGTGAATGGACAAGTCTACACCTCACTATGTGCACCACCAGTGTAGCGACCATTGGTCACCATTCGACACTATTCCAGGACCATCGGCTACATTCCCTATGCTGTCCATTTTCTCGGATGCCCTCCTTAAAACCTCCAATGACTTACCATCAAAATAAAACAAAAACTCCTTACCAAAGTTAAAGGTCCCTGCTTAGGGCCGTGGCATCAGCTCCCACCATCACTGTGAGCCTGTCTTTGCCCTAATGGTCCCTCCGTGTGGACAGTGGGCTTGTCCCCTCTCTCACCCTTCAGACCTTAATCCATGCACCCCTTGACCCCCTGTCTAAAGTGGGTCTTTCTTCTGGGGCACCTGAGTGGCTCAGTCAGTTGAGCGTCCAACTCTTGATTTTAGCTCAGGTCGTGATCTCAAGGTCATTACATTGAGCCCTGCATTGGGCTCCACGCTCAGCACAGAGTCTGCTTGAGATTCTCTCTCTCTCCCTCTGCCCCTCCCCCTGCTCATGC